TTCCCCTTATTGTCTTATTTTACTGTATGCTGGACTGTCATCTTTGAAACTGGGGCTAAAATCACAGGCACTTAGTATCTCTGAAATTCTGTTATAGGGTTATAAGGTTATTTTTTTTTCAGAGACAAGTCCCTGTAGCTCAAATTCTTAAATTAATACTGGAAAATAGTTAAATTTCATATCTTTTCTGACACAATTTCCTGCCAAAAGAAATATCCTATTTTGAAGATTTCAGCCTCCTTTGGTATTGCATGTACTATAAAGGTGTCATTTTAAAGAAGCTAATATAGCAATCAATCAAACTGAAAGCTTTTTTGTCATAAAGTAACATTTTTTTTATTCTAAATTGCAAAATCATACTTATTCATTTTAACTAGGAGATAACTGTATTGTATTTAAAGCTTGGCCTACGTAAGTCATTGGTTTTACAGTTGCAAATTGAGTTTACCTAGCTAAACATGATCAACAAATATTTGCAAAGTTTAAAATACATAATACAATTATCTCCATTCTAATGAAGATACATATTTCAAAATTGTCAGTGATAGATGCAAAAATTCACTGAACTTTTCATATTTTCAAAGAATTTTGGGAGTGAGTGGTATCATCAGATAAAGTTTGTAACTTTTATTTATCAAAAGTACGTGAGACCTTTAGGGTGGCCCTTATGCTTAATGGCCTTTACATTATACCAAAAATAATGATTGCACCATTATGATTAAACCAAATCATTGACATGGTTTTATTTATTATCAAATGTCCTGAACATGCATGAAATATTTGCCACTGGATGTTAAGCAACCAACAATCAATCAATTTATTATCAAAGCACACTTTTATAGTTTAAACAGAAATCGTCTTTTAACTTTTATTTTATTTTTCGTCTCTGTGTTTAAAGTTTCTGGTTAATAGAATATGTAGCTGTTTTTAATTTATATAAAGGTTCTCACTTAATTAATGGTATGAGGTAACTTTTTGTTAAGCTATAGAAACAGTCATTTTGAATATTAAAGTAAAAAATCAAGTGGAAATTGATGAAATTAATTCCCTGTGAGAGAATTTGTGTTTTTTATGCTTTGCTTACTTTATATACAAGCAGCCCATGTGCTTTGATGCACAGCTAATTAGAAATTTTACTATGGTACTATAGTCCCAGTTAATTGATTAACAGACTTTTTATAGATTTTTGGGCAATGTGTTGATTAAAACTGATGTAAATTAAATTAAGCAGAAAAAGCTAAATTTACTATCCAAGGTTTAGTGGGGTATATATATGTGTCATTAACTGAAATTAACACTTATTTTTAGTCTCCCCTTTTATCGGAATTCATTTTTGAGGAAAGAGTATGGAAATAGAGGCGAAGTAAATTAATTGCAACGAAATATGTAGAAACAAAATTAATATCAGTGTTAAAGAGAAGTTTGTTAATCTGTTATAGTCACAAAAATGAGCCATGGTTTTATTAGATGTTTCATTTTCAGGCAATTTATGAAACAATTTGATTGATCATGAGTGATTGCATCAATATACACATTAGCGGAAATTAATTATTTCACAAAATTGTGGTCCTATTTATTATTAATCTATTCGATAAATGATTTTTATACCTTTTTGTGTAAATTTAGTCACCTAATATGTTTGTTGATTGTTGATTTTTAATTGATATTGAAAATGTCTGGGTGCGAACAAAAAGTAACATGAAAATTGTATCGATTTACATGGTATCTGATTGGATGGCTATCAGGAGTGTTTCAGATCCTAAGTTCATCGCAGACTTTAATATTGGATACTTTAGATATTTAATAGATCGTGTGTTAGGACACTGATCAGATTTGTAAATCAGAAGTTCAATATTACATTAATAACTTTTTATACTACATTATCAGATCAACAAAATATTAAAAAGTTAAAAGACTTTTTCCCTTTTTTAACAATGTTTAAAGTAATTGTTTGATATTTGCAAGTCACAGATAGGCTGCCCAATCTGAGGTGATATTTCAGGGTGTTACTGCAATTCATGGCGGTTGTCGAGACGGCAGGACTAAAGTTCACAAATCAAAGAAATAACAAAATATTAAGTTGCTTGTTAATTACTGATAGTAGCTTTAATTGTTGTATTAATTGACTAATGTACTTTTAATTGTCTTTGTACTTAAGATAGACCATTTTGTTGAGGTTGTTAAAAAAAGAACTTCAAAACTGGGAATTCTTTATTGCTTGACCCCTAATTTGATATAATTATAAAGAACAACTAATGTTACAACATAAACCACCCATTGTGTTTATTATATAGTAGCCAATTCTATTTTGATTCTTCATTCTGTTCAAAAAATGTTAGCTGTTGATTTTGTAGTACATGGGTGAATGTGATTTTGTGATACATGGGTGAATGTGATTTTGTAGTACATGGGTGAATGATAGTATTGAGTTACCAGTGAATCAAGATTTTTGTTTTTTTTCGATTTTTTACCAAGGCATTGTCAGTTTGTTTTCGACTTATAAGTTAGAATGTCCCTTTGGTATCTTTCTCCTCTCTTTTATGGCTAACAGATTTAAATTCTATCTTCAACAAAACTGTGCCTTAATTTGAAATTAAGTGATGTTCTTTTTTGTTTTGAGGGCTCAGTATTTCATGCTGCAATTCCTCATAGAAAAAGAACAGCAACAGTTATGATGAAATGATTTCAGTTTGTGTTTACTTACAATGTGTTCTTTATGGAATTTTAGATCCTAAATGCTCTTCAACTTGGTGCTTTATTTGGCCTTTTTAACTTTTTAATTCAAGAGTGACACTGATGAGTCTTTTGTAGATGAAACGTGCGTCTGACATACATAATTTTAAGCTTGGTAACTATGATGAATTTATTCAGCAAAAGAAAATTGTTTTAAGAGATTTTGTTTTCTTACTTACAAATAACTGTCAGATATTAATCGTATTTTGAGTAAATTTGTCATGTTGCATATTTTTCACAACAATTAGATATGGACAGTAATGGCATTGTCGTAAACTTGTCATCTTAATGCAATGGTCATCAGTTTTAGTCTACGTCAAATGATCCATTTAACCTTGTTTTAAGTTCATGACTTTCATTTTTCATAGTCCCTACAAGATGTGGGTGTCTAGTATCTTGACAGATTGAAAGTGTCATTTTCATGACCGTTGTTTTCTTGTCTAAAGTTTTCGTATCTATGTTTTTCATAATGACCAGTCATATTTTAAAGGTCTGGTTGTTTTTTGCTTCTTGGGAGAGATTGACTGTAATTGCACTAGCAATCTATAATATGATATTAATCAAATCAGCAAATCCAGTTCTTAAACACAATAAATCACAATAGAGATTAAGAATAGGAAAGAGGATGTTTGGTCCCTGAAATAACAAAAATTGTGATTTTCTTCAATCCTCTGTAAGTTTGTTAATTTGATGATAAAGGAATGAGATGTTGCAGTCCAGCTGCTTTAGTGCAGAACTGTCAGTTTTGATGTCCCCGTCATATTTGACATATTAGGTCAACACTGGCCATTTCAGTTATACTTTATGGAAAGAAATTTGTCTATCATTATTTAATTTAATAGTCATGGTGATTAAAATGTCTAATTCACAAAAATTGATATCTAACCCAAATACTTGCAGAATTAATTTTGGGGAATACAAATGTCTATAGAAAATAAAAAATATTGAAGAACGTGTTGGACAGGAAACAGTATCATTTTTCGGGGCCAAATATTTGTGTTTTTAGTACGTTTTTCTTAGTTAGACTGCCATGCCACCCTCCCTCTTTGGAAATCCTGGATCTGTCACGTATTGTGCATTTATCAACATTACGTAGAGGTTTTATCATAAATATAATGTCATAAGGCATAAATCTTGAGAGATATACATAAATATGATTTTAAAAAACCAAGAAATGATAGTAAAGAACACAATATATATGAAGAGATGACTTGTTTGTCACATATAATATAAGATACTATTATTTTCAGAGGTTAGAATGTCACCAATTCTGTCAGTATGACTTTATTTTGATGAAATTCTCACAGGTGTAAAAACTTATCATTGGTACTTGGTCATATGTCACCTTCCTAAAAACATGCTTGGTCAAAATGTCATCTTACAAATTTGTACTAAGTGAACTTGAATCAATAATCTACTGGTGAATGGTCCAATCAAAACATGTATATAATATGGTCACACAAAAAGTATAGATATAGAAGGAAATACATAAGTTTGACATTCTATTAACAGTTTGAAGTAGAGGCTCTGTCTAGGTAGTTCAAAGGTTACACTTCTTCAGCAAACTTAAGTCAGTTTAGTATTTTATAAGGCCCTGGTCATAATTTAAAAGAATGAATAAATTTGATTCAAAATTATACATAAGCAATTAAAAAGAAAAAAAAACTAGTAGCATATATAGGGACGAGAAAAATCAGACCTCAGGGAAATCTTGAACACTGTAATTGACTCCAACTTGTTTTTTGAAGCACTGGTGTCAGTTTTATTGTAGAGGATGATGTTTTATTTTGTAATAATTTTAGAACATGTGAACTTTGAATATAGTTAAATATAGAATGTTAGTACTAGAAAATGACTGTATTTTTTATTTTGATTGACAACTATGTACAAACTGTAAGCAAAAATAGAGCTAAAGAATTCAGTATGTACTTGTTGCTCCAAACCAAAACTGATTGATATGAGATGTTTATCATGAACCAGTAACAATTGTTTGTGCACACAAGTTTTTTTCATGTATAGATGTTTAATTATGTCATGCCTATGAATTTTTAAGTAAAAGACAATGTTTCAGTTTAATAATTTATGATTTGGCCATTATTTCTATAGAAAGAAGGCCTTTAAGCACCCAAGAAATATTTTATAAGAGACAATTTTCTGTGCCTTTTGTTCATGTATACATTCTCCTGAGTTTCTACTTTATGCACATCTTTGTTTTCTGTTGCTTTTCACTTCCTTTGTTGTTGCTTTAGTTTTGACTTTATTTTCAGAGATTTGAGCTACAACAAACTAGAATCTATCAACAGAAAATCTCTACAGGGTTCTCTAAGTTTAAGAAATTTGTAAGTTTCAAACTAATATTCGTCTCATACTAACTCTTCTAAATTCTGATATCTGTGACTTATACTAGCAGGTATACATTATAACTTGCATGCTTCTATACTTATGTCATGATAATGTGTTATTGGTTGTTTTCAGATATACAAATGTGAAAAAATTATATTATGCATTTTCTTTAAAAAACATTCAGCACATGTAGACTTTTGTAGTTTGCGGCCGAAATTTGTCAACTCAGAAAAAAATAATTACAAAATAGTCAATGAATGCTTCAGATGTGCATGCTTATGTAGTGTTAGTGGTGTAAGGCTGTGATAGTATATATATATAATATGCCAATAGTTTAATATTTTACAAAAGAATATATTGTTTTAGGGATTTACAGTTAGGAATGTCTTATGTTTGAGTATTTGAGAAGATAAATCATGGTTTTATTGTCTGTGCCAAACTGTTTTAGGGTTTGTCTGACCGAAAAAGAAATTTGACCCTTTTCTTCTATATTTTCAACTAAAAAATCTAAAAATTTCTGTCTGAACAAATGAATTATTGTCTGACATTTTGTTGGTCAGACACAGTTTGGGATACACTGGTTTTACTGTTACCAATTTTACTATTCTGACAGTATATGTGAAAACTCTGGTTACAATGGTTTTGGCTCACAGTAAATCTATGATTTTATCTTCTCAAATTTTGTAGTGATTGTATTCAGAATTATTATTACTAAAAATATTGCCTTGATTTGTTTTATTTTCAAGCACTTAATAAGGGTTATTTTTTTCAAAAATGTATTATAGGTTGATAACATAAGTATAGACAATTATTTGCTAATCAAGAAAATGAGTAGTTGTCTTTTCAATACAATATAGATTTAAAGAATTCAGTATATTTATCATTATTGATACATAAACTTTTTTGAAATTGAAAGAAAGCAAGTTTGATAAATTGGATATAGAGAAAAAAACAATAAAATCAGGCTTCTTTGAAATATAATTTTGGGTTTGTTTGATTTATGATTAATATGGTTTTAAACACAACAATAAAAACTATTCACACTTTTACTAATACAATTGAAACCAAGTATATCTAAGATCTGATAAAATGAAATTTAACCTGAAGTATTTGAAAAAATATGATTTAGAATCTCTTAGTAGAAGTAACTGACTCCGACAAAAAATCCTGTGTCGTGAAAGTAAATGTCATTAAAACAAACTTATTGCCAAATCTGATAATAAAATTAACTTGTTAGTCTTTGTCTTATTGTCCTATTAACAATTAGGTATAAAATCCACCCTTAATTTTCTATTGATAACCAATGAACAGATAATTGGAGAATATTTGATAACGCCTGCCGATTAAATCAACAATTGTTGTATTTTCAATTTTTGTTACATTGGGAAATTATAAACTTTCATATAAACCAATTGTTTTGAATTTTGAAATAAATATGTTGGCTTGTTCAGTTGTTTAATTTAATTGCCATAACAGGCCTACAATATTGTTGGTTTTGGGCATTGATGAAATATGTTTAAATAAATGAAAAATAGCAGTGATAATTCTCAATTTTTTAAAACGTAGTTACTTTTTTAGTTTGTCAAATCCAAAATTGCTATACCAGATGAAAAACTGGAATCATTATGACCTACCACCAAAAAATGAAGGAAAGTGTTGAACACTTAAAATTTGATTTGTGAATGGACTGTTTAAATTTGGTGTTTTTTCACAGACAAGATAAAGAAGTTTGAATGAAGGAATTGACAGTTGAATATCTTTAGCTTTTGAGTATTAAAGTGAAAGAAAGTCATTCACCATATCACTTTACCAAAAGATAACAAACCCAAGGATCACCAAGTCTTTATTAATTAGTCCCGTAATAAAAGGCCTTCTTGTTATATGAGATATGTTGTGAATTTAAATCAGATCTAGGCCGTAAAATATGTTGTAAATCCTATAATTTGGAAGCTTAAGAAGAATTTACAGATCAGATTGGATCAGAGTTTAAGTTGTAAAGCATATGTTTTAACATTGTATTCTAAAAGCTAAATAGAAAATTTCTCATCATGTAAATAGGGTCTTGGTTCTCCAACCTTTTATTGAGTATTTATTGGTAACACAACCACACCCAGCGCAAGGTATAATTGATTTTCTGGACCAACACATTTTATTTGATGAGATTTGTCACTATAAATTAGTGTTAATTAGTTGTTAATTATCTTTAATTATTGTCTATGTTGATTAATTATTTGATAAGAAAAGATATCATCATTGTCGTTTGCATTAGTATACAATGTCATACATGGCATTTTTACTTTAAGGAAACAAGATCTGGTACCTACAAATGTTTATTTGACATGCGGTACACAGTATTAGTCACTGTTAACTTACCCTTACATTAATGCACATTTTGGTGAGGCTGTTGTCAATAATATAAAAACTATACCAAGTGTATTTTTTAGTTGTATAATTGTTAATGTTTTCCTCTAGAAAATTTTTATGATACACTTGTAGTTGCTTCTTAGGGTGATTCCTCACATTGTCCACCATTAGGAAAGAAAGATTATTTTGTAAAGTCCTATTGTTATTTTAATGGACAGTGAATATTTATATAACAAAACAGATATAAGGTCCTCATTCTGAAGTAAATATCATATATATACAAATGATATTTATTTAAACTCTGCCCCAAATTAAAATTTAATGTTTTTCATCTTTTCAAAATACTTACCTTTGAAAGTAAGAGTGGTTGAATTCAATATTTCATCTTTGTTACATCTTCTATTGTCCTTAACTGAAAATACCCTCAACTTGCTTGAAGTCTTAATAACTTCAGATTGTTTTTTTTTATTTTCTTACCAAAAAAGTTCTGAATTTGCTCAATTCTGAATTCCACAATCAATCTTTTCTGCTAAAGCTGGAAATAAAAAAAAAGGGGATTGAAATTAACACCTAATAAGAGTATCCCTGTAGTCATACTGTAGAAAATGGATAAAACATGAACTTACCAATCAATGTCAGTGTATTTTGTTGTATTTCAGACAATTAGACCACAATCAGATAATCTGCATATCTGAAGAGTCATTAAAACCATTGAGAAAGATGGAAATTTTGTAAGTATGATATTTAGTTTAAAGTTTAGTTAAGTCAGGGTTAGGTCCAGGAGACCATCTGTGAAACAACCGAAGTAATAAAGTTATTGTACTAGAATTTCTTTTTATGATAAAAATTAGAAATACAGTAAAACATTCAATATAACCATACTTTTTTTAACAGAAATCTTGTGTAGAAAGCAGTTGCTTCAGAGTCGAGTACAAACTGCACTGTAAGGTCTTTTTAAGTTGTCAGATAAGTGTAAAAAATAAAAGAAACATTTATACAATACAAACAAAAGGAAACCAAAACCATCAACACACAATTTCTAAAAGCAGACCCAACCAAAAAAAAAAACAATCGTGAAATTATTGTGGGAACTGCTAGTTCAATTACTCCCCTGTCCCAGCCTACAATTAGATCTTATCATATATTGTTTCAAAAATTACTTATTGTATGCTTTTGTAATTCTTACATTCATTTCAAATATTCTGCATACTTTTTTTTTTAAGGATAAGAATAGATAAAACTTACAATTCAAATAAGTTGGATTTTAAGAGAATCTAGGTCAAAGGTAATGTTGGTAAGGAGAAATAATTTTGCCTTGCAACACATCACTATGGATCCTTCAAAGAGGAATATCAAGTGTTCTTTAACCTGTAAATAGTATTACACTGCCCTAACACAAAACTTGAGAGCTGAATATCTATACATCATGGGTCCTACTGACCAGAAGAATTAGTCCATGATACTACTTTTTACTTTACTGTAGACACCATTGGTGTCATTGAAAATAATAAGAATTTTGACGATAATTTTTTGTTTTTTTTTCAGAACTTTGAATAACAACAACCTAACCACATTACCACGAGGACTCTTTGATCACATGAAAAATCTCAGAATATTGTAAGTAGCTTTCTCTGGTACTCACCTGGACAGAACTAGACAGGTGTCATAGAACAGAAATTCTGTGGACACAAAAAACATTAAAAGTTTGGTAGTTTACTTAGAATTTTTATAACTTCTTTTTAGGCTAACTTCTTTGTAAATTATGTACACCAAGCATTTTGGCCTGTTTGTCATTGAATTTAGGCCTAATTCATTATTCTAAAATTGGTAATAGTAATATACTCTGCATAATAAGTGGTTGAGGATTGAAGAAGAAAGCTATCTTCCTCTTTAAAATGCCATGAGAGCAATGATAACAAACCATTTATTGTTTAGATTGAATATCTGTGCTTAGAAAAATAGGTTAAGATGAAACAGAATATTTTATTGTTTTTCCATTTAATGTCATTATATAGCTGAATAATTTTTTTCTGAATGTATGTTCAACAAATCCCCTCTCGAGAACAACCTTTGATAAAAATGATGAATAGATGTTTACACCTCTGTATTACTATCATGTAAATCTTAATGGTACAAATGTTTTTTACACATTTGATACCTTTGGTTACATCAGCGAGGCCTAATTAACAAATGTATTTGACTGTGCTGTGTTCCTTTCATTAAAGCTGTTGTACAATGTGTTGGAATGCTTTTATCTTCCACAGTTGACAGTCAGCCAGAGGGGGAGAAAAGACTACCAAACAAAAAACCTTGTAAATGGAAAATTAAGAGTTCTGAAATCATGGACTAGAAAAAATCTGTGAAACTCCTTATTTCAATTAATGTGATTGATTGTTGGTTGCTTAATGTCCAGTGACAAATATTTCATGCATGATCAGGACGATCAATTGATTTGTGATTTTTCCATGATTGTATGTAGATTATGAAAATATTTTAAAGTTTTACATATTGAGTTAGTAAAACTTCCAAATAAGATAATTACTTGGTACTATAACTAAATGTTTGCAGTGTCACAGATTCCCAGGAATAACAATACAATATTCTATCTGCTAATATAGAAAGATTAAAAAACTGAAGCTTTTCTCACCACACCTAGCTAATATTAACTTTTAAGGTGGTAAAATCTCATCATATTTTAGTATAAGTAAAGGACATCGCCCCTCATCAGAGGTCTTTATTATAATTCCTGTTAGGTTTTGAATATGAGAAATCTGAAGCTAATAGATTATTACATGGTTGTTATTTAACCAGTAAATATTTGATGTCTAACACCTTTGTATAATTCTATAATGTTTACAATACTGTTTACAGGTCGGTCATTCACGTTCTATTATATACAAATAATTCTATTCTTTTGCGTCTTTCTCATGAAATCTATTAAGTTTAATTATGTTTTGATATTTTGTTTTTCATTTTTTTTAAAGTACATTTTCAATGATCTTCACTTTTTAAGGTTGATTCATTTGCATGTGTAAATTAAAATGTAGATTTTAATTTAATACTTTACAGACAAGCAAGGTCTCAATATTGTTATAACTGTAACCTAATGAATGCTGTAATTTAACAACTTTTAATGTTATGATGGTCTAAACATTTGATGAGGTTTACGTGATTTAAAAAAAATCTTTTATCACCAGGTTATAAAGTACATAAGCTTTATTATTTAGCAATCATTTCCTCTTTTTCTATAATTTTATAATAAGATGTTTTATAAAAGTTAATAAAGGCAAGAAAACAAACAGACCTATTAAATATAGATAAAAAAAACCCAAATAATTGTTTTGCCATAAATCAGGCTGTTGATTTTTGAGTTTGAACTGTTTCACATTTTGTCTTGTCCTTTTATTATAGCTATGATGTATGGGATTTACTCATTTTTGAAGGCTGTACTGTGACCCATAATTGCTTAAATCTACGTCATTTGGACTCTGGTGGATAGTTGTGGCAATCATACCACATTTCCTTATTCTATATAAAAAAGTTTCTTTTCATAGTTAGAAAACATCGACACTACAGCAGACAAATACTGTGTTAATACCTTCTTTTTTTTTTTATAACTGCATTTTTGTTAAAACATTTAACATTCCAGTTTGATTAGCCTCATATATAGAAAGCAATGTATTTTTAACATTATATGTTGAATATGCCTAATTATTTTAGAAGACTTTGAACTTTTATCTGAGGTTATATCTATTTTAGTTAATGGTCGATAATTTTATTAAGATATACCTTAATTAACTCTCATTATTAGCATTCTATAATAACATTGGAGAAAAAATAAAGTGATATAACGTCATTGCTCAAAGCCACATATTTATTATTCCATTTTGAAACAAATTTTTGATATTTTTAACTGAGTCATTATGCAATTGCATATTTGCAAGTTTTTGATAGGAAATACCAAGTTTTACCTTAAAGCACTGCAGAAAAAACAAAGTTTTTGCATGCTCGTACTTGACCTTTATAGGGGTCAATTGATTTGTTGTCATTTTTACTATGTTAAGGACTTGTTTATAAAAATGCATTTTATCTCTTTATGTCTTATTTTAATATTCGTGTCAGAAATTTTAAAATGATATTAAAAATTTTGGTTGCATTGTGAAGAGTAAGTAGCTTTAATGATGTTTATACAAGTAATATTAGAAGTGTTGTATTTCCTTATCAATATTTACTTAAGTATACAGGTACAAGTTTACATCTATCAAAAGTTGGTTTTTTTATCCCTGTAATCAGTCATTTTACATTCCAAGCCAAGAAAACATAAGTCTGATTGATAAGTTTATTTACAAACTTGTACCATGTTAAAGAGTCCTTTGAGTAAAACTTTGGGATTAATTTTGTCTGTGTGACTTTTATCTGCTTTTTTGCAGCTTTTGACTGCATTTCATTTATTACAATTTACTAACTTTGTGCCAAATGTTCTAGGTAATCTTCTATTTGGCTTAAGCCTAGAGTTTTAATTTTTTGATTCATTAAAGATATTTCTTCTTTAAGAGAATACACTAAAAAATCTATGATAGCAAAGTTAGCCTAAGCTTGGAAGAAAATCTATGATAGCAAAGTTAGCCTAAGCTTGGAAGAAAATCTATGATAGCAAAGTTAGCCTAAGCTTGGAAGAAAATCTTGTAATATTTTGCCATTGTAATTTTAAGAGGGTAACTCCCTATTCTTCTTTGTGGTCAAATGCCATAACAGTGGTTAGCAAACTTATAAAAACATGAACATTTGGACTGCATTTTTCAAAGTCATTCTGTCCCTGCTGTGCCTTCAAGCATAGAAGGCATTAGGATAATGTGAAACAGTACAATTTAAGGTTTGAGAAGAGTTAAATTTTGACATATGGAATGAAGATAAAAGAATACAGCAGTTTTGAATGATAGACGATAAACAAGACTAATATATACAGGTCAAAAGTCAGTCATACATGTGGTGAAATAATTCTTTAGATCATTTTACAAGTATGACAGATTGAATGTATACTTATCATCTTATCATTGCAACACTTCATTTTGAAATTTTATCAGTAAAAATATATTTTATACACCAAATATACAAAGATAGTTTAATAACAATTCTTTAACTTCAAACAAAATTAGAGTATGAAAACAGTACAGTTGTAAATTCTTAAATGCTATTATCTTTATAGATGTAATAGACCAAATTTTTTGGATTAATTCCAAAAAAAAGTTTAGCTCCCATTTTTTAAGGTTTTTTGTGTGTGTGTAAATCTGTTTTAATGAAATGACATTGGAAATGCTCCATATGATATAAAATGATGACATCACTATGATTTAAGCACCAGTCTTGACTGTTGGTAGGTAAATAGCAAATTAGATATGGTTTACTTTCTTGATTGACATGTTATCTAGATTTTTTTCCATATTAAATGTTTCTAACTAAAGTTGTTTAAGCCATTAATGAATGTATAAACATTTAGTTTTTACTTTTAATGTTTACTTTCTGACATTTAATGTCTGGTGTAGATACACAGGTTATTGATATAGTACATTTGTCTGTATTTCCCAGCTTAACTTTATTTCCCATTTCTTATATGAGTAGAATATAAAAAAAAAAATTAAAAGCCATACACCAAAACATGATAAAGATACAACCTAGAAACTGTAAGAGATGTAATTTTGTTGGTTGAATAATTTTCCAATGTTTTCATTGTAATTAAATATGTGAAAAATATTGGCATTCTTAAATTGTCTTATTAGTACAATACATGAAATAATAGGATGTAAAATTACAAACATACTTAACTACATAGAAACACAAAAAAATTAAAAAAATTGTGTTTACAGTATATCAAATGTGTTTGGCCATTAGTTAAGAACAAGTGTTGGATATGTTTAAGTTGGAAGGTATTGCAGTTCTTTCTGCATGGTTGCAAGAAATATGCCGAAGAATTAAATTCTCTCCATTTTTTTTCAGGCGATTGATCAACAATAAATTCATGTGTGATTGTCATTTACTTTGGTTGCCAAGATTTCTGAGGTCACATCGAGGCCTCGGTCTCTACACTGAATGTGATTCACCATCTCGACTTCAGTCCATAGAGATGGTAGATATTCCAGAGTCACAGTTCAGATGTCAAGGTAAGACCATTCTGGGGTCAAACAGAGGTCATACAGTGCACTGACCTCTATTCAGATTGTAGCTGTGCCTCAGCAGGTTGACATTATCATAGATGTATAAACATAACTTCTCAAATTTTTTATGTGACTAGAAAAAAAATTATAGGTGGGAAAAAGCAACTTCATGCAGAATCTGTTCATTAATTGTTAAAAATTAGTATCTGCAGCTTTTATAATTTATGGGCTTATATTTAAGTTTACAGTAGCAACTAAAGAAATATCAATGTGAACAAAAGGAGAAGTGGTATATATGTCAATGAAACAGCTAACAACAATGAAAAGAAAGAGATCTGGATATTATGACAACAGCCTGATGTTGATAAAGCTGTCAAACAAATGTTCTATAATTGCTTTTTAGGCATGGACAGTTACAAAGCGCCAAAATGTGGAGTGGAGGCCCGGTGTCCTAGTAAATGTAGATGTATGGAGGGTGTGGTCGACTGTAGAGATTTGGGACTGACAGCAATCCCTACTAATCTACCAGAAGACACCATTGAAATGTGAGTTTTGTCTTTTTGAATTCAACATCATTAATGGTATTGATAAACCATGAAAAAATAATCAGATATCTTACATGACTCTCCTATACTCTAAAATCTTGTCCTGAAAATACATGTACTATTTACCCCTGGATGTTAGAAAAAAATCTACCAATAGCAATTTATTTCTATACTTAATTTTGAATGAGAATATGAATGGGAATTATTTAAATGTTGCTATTCTTGTACATTAATGTCTTTAGGGAAATAATAGATAATTTAAGTTCACAATTGTGTTGCTGCATATTTTTTTAGTTAAACATCTTTTTGCCTTGCATTTCAGTCAACTTATACTAATTTGCATTAATAAATAAATTCCAAACTTCCAGTAAAACATCAATAATACTATAAAGTCAGATGTTTCTCTAGCTTACTGACTTGTTAATATATTCTTAACCAACCAGTGAGTGACCCACTGGGAAAACTGATCTATTTCATTCAACTATTGTAAGAAAATCTACTGTGTCCTGCCGACACCTATAATTTGAGACACAGTTACAAAGAGAACCCTACAATTAACGCAAAATAAACCGTAACATAGGAAACTTCATTGAGGTCTAACACCATGATAAAAAGTTGGTGTTTTTCTTGGTGTAATCCCAGGTAAAAACTGCACTGCTATCATGTATTACCTACCTCAGAGAAGATAAACTGACATGCAACTGTGTAAATATTTATTGTGAAAGACAACATGCATTTGGAACATGTGGTTCAACATGTGTAATTATAGTAAAATGAGAATGTATATAACTATGACATCTTAAAAAACATGTATTTATCTTGGTAGCAATTATAGGGTTCAAGAAATTGTCATGTGATTAATTTGTATAAAATGCATTTAGTGATATGCTAATATATGTATTATAACCAGAAGTGTTAGAAAAATACCACACCATTCATAAAAGAAGGAAAAGAATAAGTTCAGGTGTAGGTTTCGTTCTCACAGAGATCAGGAAATGGTTAAAGTATTGGTTTTCAGGTTATCCTTGTATATGCAGAACCTTTCAAGAATTAGAAATGAATCCTTGACAAAAGTATTAATAATGTTTCACATTATAAAACTTGAAAATGAATACACCTGAATCAATGCTGATAATTAGTATACTTTTACAGTATACAAATTCCTTTTTTTTTCCAGACGAATGGAACAGAACCATATAGTCCACATCCCTTCAGGAGCCTTTAGTGACATGAAGAGACTCAGAAGAATGTATGTATATCAAAATATACCTAGAAAAAGCTTTATATTGGCTAGTCATGGGCTAAACCTGTTTTCAAGGTTTTATTTCCATGTTTTTCTTGTCGTTGATATTGATCTTTTAAATCATATTTATGCAAGTAGATTTTATAATGATAATATCGCAATCACAAAAACTAGCAAAATGAAAGCCATAGTGAAGATTTTCAACCATACGGTAGTCTCTACCTTTTATACAACCACCTCTCACCAAGGTCCTCAATTGTAGAGATTTGTTGATCCATCTTCTTTGTTGCGATTACATTACTCTGTTTCCCAAGAAAATTACATCCTGAAAACAAGGATGATATTTCAACTTAAATTTGTTGAATTTTTGTGCATCTTGGTGGTATCTATTAGTTATGTATTTAATGGTGATGCCTTGATGCATTCAAAATTTATTGTAATTTCATATTTTTAAAGTAATATGATAAACATTTTGAGTACCTCTGATCATTATATAATATAAGTTTTATAAGCCATTAGAAATATTAGATTGGTGATAACAGCATGTAATATGTAACATACAAATGAAATTACATGATTTATACCACCAGAAATGTTTATTTGCATGAAATTCAGCATTTATATTAATTCTTCAGAAAATGTAAACAATTAGAAATAATTGAAAACACAATATTTCCTAAAATGTGATACAATATCTAGTCTTAAATTTGATCTAACACATATTTTTTTTTGAATTATATGATATAACATTCTTGTATGATTTTAGTCTATGCTAATTTACTCTTGAAAGGTTATACTTTGAAACATTAATTTATTCATTAAATACTGTAAAGATTATAAGAATTCAATGTATGTATTGTATATAATCTTCAAGATTGAAATGTAGTTGTTTCTGTTACCAGTTTGTTGTCAAATATCAAACAATGTAAGACAGATAATTTGTTAATGTTGATACTGAAAAAGGATCCTGTTTTTCTGAGAGTAAAAGTCTTTTGAGAAATTCCAAAGATTCACTAGACAGTACCCTTATAGGTCAAGAAACATTTGACAATCTGTAGCATTTTTCTTTAAAAATGTTCTTGTAAGTCATGAACAATCCAGTATAACTTATGACCTATTAAATCTTTGTTAAAAGAGCTAGAGAACAATGGAAAATACTACCCTGTGTCCTGGGTCAGTCACTCCTACCTAATGTCTAAATTTCAAAAGTCTTTTGAGCAGCATATTTCTAAGTTTTTAAGTATGATTGATATGATTAATGTCTAACATGTTGACACCCAAGAGATAGGTAATGAGATTTCCTGGAGATATATAATGAGGTTTCCTGAAGAGATTTAAGTACTTTTCATGCTATGTTCCAATCTCTAAACTGATTCCCAAGCAATGGTTCCATCATAGAAATGATTTACCAGGTTTATAGAATCATGTTTTGTCAGAAGGGTGTTTATTCAGGGTGCACCTGTGGATAAGATAGTACACAGGTGATATATTGGACTTCTGATTCATGCCAGAGACCGTCCTCAAACTGTGCTTGTAAAGTACATGACAAATCTTAGTCACAAACCTATTTAGTATGCATTTGTATTAGCATTGGCACATATCATTTCCATGAAATTTATTTGGCCCTTCCTTCCTCTATTGACTTTGAAACTTATGCATAGTTTTCATGTAAAATTTTATGATTAGGTCCGTTTTTTGAAGGAACTATTAGTATTAAGTCAAAGATATTTGGTATGCAGCTGTAAAAGCATGTGCATATCTCATTTCCATTGAGATTATTTGGCCATACATATAGGAGAGACATTACTCTATGTCATCAGTTTATTGCTATTTTGTTGGCATGAAAAAAAACCATAAAAAATCTGTATTTAGATCAGAGAGCATACTATAAGTACACTCTGTCCATTGATTATTGGTTACAACAATGAATAACTATGAACATACTTTGACTCAGCTAAACTGTATCAATACTATGTGATGCTGGGAATTTTGATTTTTTTTGTAAATGGAGTCTATGCCTTATTGTACTGAAAAAAGTCAACTTCAGTTGTTTAAATTAATTACTTATTTTTATGAGGAACCCAACAGGCAGTTAGAGAAATGAAATTGTTTTAAATGTTTAGTCCATTAAAATTGAAAGGATATTTAAAATCTTAGTTAAAGATTTAGTTGGGTCATTTCATGACCAATCTTTATATCTTGCACTAAAACATATCTCATGCATGGATAAAAACACAGCACCTGCTATGCTGAAGTTCATGTTTACACCTGTATCAGAACATCTGATCTGTCATAAATATTCTCATCATTTTATTATTAGTATAACTGATGTATGGAAGGCTGGAAATTATACTAATTTCTCCCAATAATCTGTAAATCAAATTAACTTCTTTGAAGCATTGTATGAGTTATAAAAAATGATGTTTACAAAAATTATTATGACATATGAATTAGTTTATTGTTTTAACAAGGTGTTGTTAAAATCATCAGAGAAAAAAAAGGATAGAATTTGTGGTTCTTCATGACTTGGCATCTGTTTTGTGATTTGTTGAATCTTTTGCACGTTTAGAAATTACATGAACACATGGCCATATTTCTGGAACAAACATTCACTTTAAATAATAATTTATGTATATATTACAATAATGTTTAATATGTTAATTGTTACATATTCATAGATCTCTAATTTTAATTTTTTAGTCTGTTGCAATAAATGGACTAAGTCTGGACCTTCCATTATTGACCTTATAATTGTACTTGTGTGGGAATTTGAATTTTAAAGTTATGGTAAAATGTGACCATTTTACTATTGAATAAGAAATCTGCAGAAATTTTCATTTAAATGCATATTTGAGAGGATTTAGAGTAATTAAGATTACAATCTTGTCTTATTATTGACGAACGATATCCTTTTTCTGTACATCCATTACGTAATATTTGCATGACAACCATTCATTTCAAGTAATTCTCAATTTCTGCAACACTAGAAAGGTCAATTTATAGTGACCTTTTACATGTCAGTATGATGTAAATTAGCATAAAAGAATTATTTCTAAATTAGTTTTCTTTTTTGAGAAGAATTGCCATTATACTTGGTTTTGTAGTATTATTGTTACCACAAAAACTTAAATTAGGCCTCAATTTAACATACGGAAAATGTTGACCTTGTCTCTATGACTTTTCTGAATATTGAGAATTTGGTGTCAGCTATTTGGTTATTTGTTTTGCACTTGTCTAAGATTTGGGGCAATATAGAGCTTGTCTTATAAGGTTTGCACTTGTCTAAGATTTAGGGCAATATAGAACTTGCTTTATACAGTTGGCACTTGTCTAAGGTTTGGGACAATATATAGCTTGCCTTATAAGGTGGAACTTGTCTAAGATTTATGGCAATATTGAACTTGCCTTATAAGGTTTGCACTTGTCTAAGATTTAGGACAATGTAGAGCTTGCCTTATAAGGTTGCCAATTGTCCATTGTTGGATGTTATAGATAAAAGAAGATGTGGGATGTATGTCAATTAGACAGCAACCAGACAACAAAAATAACCAAAAGACATGTAGTGGGTAACATATAGTCTTCAACAATAGGCAGGTGTCCACACAATATGTCTAGCTCTAAATGTTCTATGAAAACTTTGAAAAATTTTACAGAAGCATCAGGGAACTGCCATCCACGTCCAACTATCCAAATAATGAAAAATATTAAAACATTACGGGTATAAATATATATCTAACTGTAGTTAAGAATCCATAGTTTTATGTATTTATAGTTTGTAAACTGACATTGTAAATAGATTTTCTTTATTTTCCAGTGACCTCAGCAACAACCAAATATCCAAGATCCATGCTGATGCTTTTGCTGGACAGTTATTTCTCAATTCTTTGTAAGTTTATAGATTTAGCTACAACAGTATAATTATTTAGAAAGCTTTTTTTTAAATGTAGGTTTAAGTCATAATTCTGTTTAGTAAAAAGTAATGTTAGAAAAGAGAACAAGAATGATCTCCATACACACAAAATTTTTGATAATTTGAGTGGAGTTCTAAACATGCAGTTATAATATTAATCTTTACAGTTTGCCATAATGAGAATTTTCTATATTATAAAAATCTCTTATATTTATCATTCAAAAAGAAAAGATTTGTTATCTGAGATCCTTTAATATATTGTATTTTCATTTCAGAGTACTTTATGGTAACAAAATAGTAGACCTACCACACGGTGTATTTAATGGTCTTTCGTCACTACAGTTATTGTAAGTTGTATACAATGTTTAATGTTTATATTTTGTTTTTAATGGACCTTCATTCAATGATTGGGGAAATGTATATCACTTAAATCATATTAGTGAGATTTTGCAATTGAGATACACTTGCAATACACAATTACTTCTTCTTATACACCCAAACTTGTACAAGTGTTACTATGCTTACAAAGGCTTTACACTTACACAAAACCTAATGGTCAATTTTTTTTCAAAGTAGCAATTTGAATTAATCCACTGATGATAACTGTTAGTAAATTGCTTAAGTGAAAGGTTGTTAGTAAAGAGCAAGTACAGTTAATAAAAATATTCTAACCAAGCTATTTCAGCGACTGAATTTCTTTCTTCTTAACAACTGGAACACCTAGTTACCTGGAAAACTGCTTTAAAAAAGGTTATACTTGTTAACATTTATTGCAGACATTCATTGTTTTTATTTTTGCAATAATAGCATGTTTTATTTGTAGATTATTAAATGCAAACAAGATCAAATGTATAAGGAAGGATGCTTTCAAAGACCTATATAACCTTAATCTTCTGTGAGTTTTATCTTTCATATCTGGATATCAGACATGTATTAATAACAATGTCTATATTTTGTGTTGTAAGACAATTGATTTTGTCTGATCTCGAGCTTTATTGGAAACTGATTTTGATACATTGTAACTTATTAAAGATCAACAAAGTTTACAACTCACATTTATCTTAGATAATTAAAGATGGCATTTTAAGTTCCTATTTCAAGAAAGCAAAATTACAGGTTGTAATTAGATGTGATGAAATATATGCAGAAAATGAAACTGTATTAAAGGGGCACTAAAATATATATTTAAAATGACAATTTAAAGTTCATCTGTTCTCATCTGAGGAGACAATAAAATAATATTGTATTTGACTTGGGTAGTTTTTTTTCAGATCTTTATATGATAATCAGATCCAATCACTTGGCAATGGAACATTTGAACCTCTACAGAATATACAGACACTGTAAGTATTATTTTATAAATCATTTTATATTTTAAAAGTGATAGCCATTATATAGTAAAAACAATCACATGTCAAGACAGATAAATTAAGAATCAAAAGATATTAAAAAATTACATCACAACTGAGGTAAAATTGTCTGATGTGGTAAACAAAAATCCTAGTAATAGTTGTATGAGATATAAAGACATACAAAATCAGAAAATTTGTGAAACATGTAAAAACAGTATTTACAACTAGAGAAAGATCAGGATACTTTTTATACCATAGTTCCTTCGTGTGTTTTCAATTTTCATACAACTGGTCAGTTAAATTAAAATTCTATGAAGAGATATTTAAAAAATCTGATTGGTATTGAAATCAGCCATATTCAAATGATTTTACAATAGATTGACCCAAGTTTATGAAAGGGACCCATAAACTATAAAACTTGCTAGTCATAACCTAAAAATATTACCAAGATGAGTATTCAAAAGTAAGTCATTCAGAATTATGAAGATCATTGATTTTGTTATTGAGGCAATATAATGGTCTTGTTATGTGTGAATTTGAATCCTATAGAATATATTTATGCTTTTAGGCACCTTGGAAGAAACCCCTTTATCTGTGATTGTAACCTAGGATGGCTTGTTGAGTATCTGATTAAGAATCCCATAGAGACCAGTGGTGCTCGATGTGAAAGTCCCCGTAGAATGGAGAGAAAGAAAATAGCTACAGCTAAAGTCAGCAAGTTTAAATGTAAAGGTTTGTTTTAAGTTGACCGTGTGTAAATGTAAAGGTTTGTTTTAAGTTGACCCTGTGTAAATGAGGTTTGTTTTAAGTTGACCCTGTGTAAATGAGGTTTGTTTTAAGTTGACCCTGTGTAAATGAGGTTTGTTTTAAGTTGACCGTGTGTAAATGTAAAGGTTTGTTTTAAGTTGACCGTGTGTAAATGAGGTTTGTTTTAAGTTGACCCTGTGTAAATGAGGTTTGTTTTAAGTTGACCCTGTGTAAATGTAAATGTTTGTTTTAAGTTGACCCTGTGTAAATGTAAATGTTTGTTTTAAGTTGACCCTGTGTAAATGTAAAGGTTTGTTTTAAGTTGACCCTGTGTAAATGAGGTTTGTTGTAAGTTGACCCTGTGTAAATGTAAATGTTTGTTTTAAGTTGACCCTGTGTAAATGTAAAGGTTTGTTTTAAGTTGACCCTGTGTAAATGTAAAGGTTTGTTTTAAGTTGACCCTGTGTAAATGAGGTTTGTTTTAAGTTGACCCTGTGTAAATGTAAATGTTTTTTGCCATAACTTTTCCCAGAATGAACACATAGAGGTTATATATTATTTGTGGTTTTACCATTTTTCAAATTGGGCTCCTCATTTGTGAATGGTTTGCATTGCAATCAGTGAAAAGTTTTATGTGATCTTTTCATTGATACTGAATAACATTGGCATCGCTCATTTATTTATTTTTATTAGTTACTTAACTTTTAGCTGTATATATTATACATATACGGTATACTCTCAGAATTGATTCAACACATTAGATGTAATACAAAATTAATTATTTACTTTAAGAGCTGCATTGTTACCTATTCATGCTGGGTAATGATGACCCATGCAGCCAGAAATACTAAATTAAAACCAATGTTGTCCAAGCTGCTCAGACTATGAACTCTGGATAAAAAGTCCCAGAATAATTGTATTTTTGTATGAACAGCTTGAAATTGTGCAGGATACATGTATATATGCAGTAAAATCTGTGTTCTATTGAAACATATCCACTCTCTTGAGAGAACTCTTATTTACAGTTTTAATAACTAGTGTAACTTTATAGAAGTATCTTGTAAGTGTTCAATTATATTTAAATTTGTGTAAATAATTGTAGGTGCAGAAAATCATAGAACAGAGAATGCTGGGAATTGTATGGTAGACATGGCATGTCCTGACTCCTGTGTGTGTCTTGGTACTGTAGTAGACTGTTCTGGACGAGGACTTACAGCTATACCCAAAGGCATTCCGACTTACACTACCTCATTGTAAGTTGGCTTTTCATCAAAATGTGGAAATGAAATATAAATGGATGAGATAGTGACATTAAAAACAAAAAATGTAACAGAAAAAAAATAAACAGAAAGAAGCATAAAATGGTTTAAATATTTGTATTTGAGCAAATTAGTTTTACCTCTAGTGTTGACCAACACATTTTCTAAAAGACTTAAATGTTCATGAAAGATACATTGGATTTCTACCTGTCGGGATGTAACATAAAGAATATCTAGCCTCTACAACTTTCTAAGTTTCTAACTACAGGGAACCACAACTGCCCATTTCACTATTTACATGTAATTTAAGTAATGTTTCTTGAAGTACATAGAATTACTTTCTTTTTTAACAGGAAGTTGAACAAAAACAAGCTAACAAGAATAGATTCTCTGTCTGAAATGTTGACCCTGTTAGATAGCTTACGATCCATGTAAGTATAAGAAGGAATATTAACCTAAGATTAAACAAAGTGTATGGCCAAGAACAGTAATTTAGTACTCCCAGAATTTCATTTTGACCATTAAATAGCAAAAAGCTGATCTCAATTTATAAATGTTATTTTCCTAAGTCTGTCTTCCTTGAGCTAAAAGAAATCTGTTTTGCTCCGTGGAAAAAAAATTGGCTGTTTTGCAATAAAATAGAAATGATTATATGTGTTCTTATCAATGCCATATCTTAGATTTTATAGATATTAATAACAAATTCAGAGATCTACTTAGTTATTGACAAAAAAGTCTGTGACTTTTGAATAAAATAAAACAAATCAACATCAACAGTAGCACTGGATTTAAGAACTAATGCACTTGTTTTGGCCTCTGCAGTAAAAAGACAAGATTTATGATATGATATTGGTGATCTTCAACATTACTAAGTGTGTGATGCTACTATACTATGTGTATCATATCTTGTCAGTGTCGAAAAAGTTAATGTCTATGATCACATGGTATCCATTAAGTGAGGGAAAAAAATATACACCTTTTTATACCATTTATTAAAAAACATAAAAATAAAGTTTTAGTATTTTTAAACAGGTAGTTATATCTAATCAGACCTGATTGATGACATACATCGGGGTAAGTGGGTTATTTGTTCATAAATCTGTGGTTTTATTTCTGTACATTTGATTTCTGATCAGTAATTTTTTTTCCTTCAGAGATTTCAGTAATAATCTGATAGATTTCATACAAGATATGGCTTTTGATGGTGCAGATAAACTATTAGAAATGTAAGTATAAAAAATAATATGGAATTGAAGACAGGGTGGAACTGAATCAGAGATTATAAACATCTACAAAGCAATAATTTCAGCCTTTATATATGACATTAAAAAATATCATCGATCAGTTGTAAGTGGCTCATTGTGTGTCCAGCATGCATTTCATAAGATGATGTAGAATATATTTAGACAAATTATCTTACTTTGAGTTTGGCAAGTTTTAGGAGGCTGTTAATTCAATGTCTGGATGTTCTGTTCATGTTTTAGGATGCTGTTTAATTTGAAATATGTTGCTTTATCTTGATAATTTGTTCAAAGTATACTATTAATAATAGTCTTAATGTCTTGCATTTCAAAATAAAAATATAAGGGATATGGATCATGTGGAATGATTGCCAATGAGACAACTATCTTCCGGAGTTGAAATGATGTAGAAGTAAGCTATTATATATGATAGATGTCTTTTTGCTTTTTTTGTGATGTTGGTTTTCTGTCCCATTGATGTATAACCAACATTTCCTTTTACATGCCTGTTATTTTTTAATTAATCATTTAATTAAATCTTTTGTTTTTCCAGAAATCTAGCCGACAACAAACTTAGTAAACTTTCGATGAAGATGTTGTATGGATTAAGATCAGTACATACCATGTAAGTAATGGTTCTATTTATGATATCATGTATTTATCAACATTAAACAAACCAAATGGTTACCTTGAATCTAACAAAAAATAAAGTATTCAGAAAAAGATTAGTTTTATCCTGGAAGGAGTAGGTTTGGTATCAGCATTTTTTATTGACACATTCAAATCTCCACAAATTCATCAATATCAGGGTCTATTTTTGATATCTTAATTGACATAAATTTCAGTTCTCCACCAAATTAAATAAAAACAGGTCAATTTCCATTGACATTGAGGACCAGAAACATCACACATGTCGACAAAAAAAATCCTTTAACATTATGTTTTTTGCAAGAAATCTATCTGACTTAAAAAATTTATTTTGTTTGTAAATGTCAATGTCATATGAAAATAAGCTATAGACAAAAATCAGTCTATTTTATTTACTCACATGGTTATGCATCAACTTGAAATATGTAAATCTTAAATAATGCAGACCAGACCAGGTCCATACTGCACCTACTCCTTTTCTTATGATATTCACCCCACCCCAAAAAAAAAAAACCGATCACATGCAAACAAACTAATCCAAAGAATGAAATAAAAGAACAATAGCATAGCTGTAGTATGTTAAACCAGACTGAGCAGCTGTAGTATGTTAAATCAGACTGAGCAGCTGTAGTATGTTAAATCAGACTGAGCAGCTGTAGTATGTTAAACCAGACTGAGCAGCTGTAGTATGTTAAATCAGACTGAGCAGCTGTAGTATGTTAAATCAGACTGAGCAGCTGTAGTATGTTAAATCAGACTGAGCAGCTGTAGTATGTTAAATCAGACTGAGCAGCTGTAGTATGTTAAATCAGACTGAGCAGCTGTAGTATGTTAAATCAGACTGAGCAGCTGTAGTATGTTAAACCAGACTGAGCTGTAGTATGTTAAACCAGACTGAGCTGTAGTATGTTAAATCAGACTGAGCTGTAGTATGTTAAATCAGACTGAGCTGTAGTATGTTAAATCAGACTGAGCAGCTGTAGTATGTTAAATCAGACTGAGCTGTAGTATGTTAAATCAGACTGAGCAGCTGTAGTATGTTAAATCAGACTGAGCAGCTGTAGTATGTTAAACCAGACTGAGCAGCTGTAGTATGTTAAACCAGACTGAGCTGTAGTATGTTAAACCAGACTGAGCTGTAGTATGTTAAATCAGACTGAGCTGTAGTATGTTAAATCAGACTGAGCAGCTGTAGTATGTTAAATCAGACTGAGCTGTAGTATGTTAAATCAGACTGAGCTGTAGTATGTTAAATCAGACTGAGCTGTAGTATGTTAAATCAGACTGAGCAGCTGTAGTATGTTAAATCAGACTGAGCAGTAGTATGTTAAATCAGACTGAGCTGTAGTATGTTAAATCAGACTGAGCAGCTGTAGTATGTTAAATCAGACTGAGCAGCTGTAGTATGTTAAATCAGACTGAGCAGCTGTAGTATGTTAAATCAGACTGAGCAGCTGTAGTATGTTAAACCAGACTGAGCTGTAGTATGTTAAATCAGACTGAGCTGTAGTATGTTAAATCAGACTGAGCTGTAGTATGTTAAATCAGACTGAGCAGCTGTAGTATGTTAAATCAGACTGAGCTGTTGTATGTTAAATCAGACTGAGCTGTAGTATGTTAAATCAAACTGAGCTGTAGTATGTTAAATCAGACTGAGCAGCTGTAGTATGTTAAATCAGACTGAGCAGCTGTAGTATGTTAAATCAGACTGAGCTGTAGTATGTTAAATCAGACTGAGCAGCTGTAGTATGTTAAACCAGACTGAGCAGCTGTAGTATGTTAAATCAGACTGAGCTGTAGTATGTTAAATCAGACTGAGCTGTAGTATGTTAAATCAGACTGAGCAGCTGTAGTATGTTAAACCAGACTGAGCTGTAGTATGTTAAATCAGACTGAGCTGTAGTATGTTAAATCAGACTGAGCTGTAGTATGTTAAATCAGACTGAGCAGCTGTAGTATGTTAAACCAGACTGAGCTGTAGTATGTTAAATCAGACTGAGCTGTAGTATGTTAAATCAGACTGAGCAGCTGTAGTATGTTAAACCAGACTGAGCAGCTGTAGTATGTTAAATCAGACTGAGCTGTAGTATGTTAAATCAGACTGAGCTGTAGTATGTTAAATCAGACTGAGCAGCTGTAGTATGTTAAACCAGACTGAGCTGTAGTATGTTAAATCAGACTGAGCAGCTGTAGTATGTTAAATCAGACTGAGCAGCTGTAGTATGTTAAACCAGACTGAGCTGTAGTATGTTAAATCAGACTGAGCAGCTGTAGTATGTTAAATCAGACAGAGCAGCTGTAGTATGTTAAATCAGACTGAGCAGCTGTAGTATGTTAAATCAGACAGAGCAGCTGTAGTATGTTAAATCAGACTGAGCAGCTGTAGTATGTTAAATCAGACAGAGCACTCAATTTCAATGTTTATTCTGTTATTTTGCTTCAGCATATATAAAAAAATGTTAACACAAAGTAAATTCCAATGAACTGAGCTCATTCTGGACTTGGTCCATTTCAGCTTGACATTAAAATATGTATTGATAAAATCACATTTCAATTCTGATACACCAAGTATAAATTGTAAAATTATTATAGAATTTCAACTGTACTGTTTAGAAAGATTTAGAAAACAACAGTATTGTAGAAACTTTATCGATGTTTGACAGAAAAATCATCATTTGATAACATCAAATAAATCTGCAAATTTACCACAAAATCCAAAAATAGTTTGCATGTGACTTATCTTCTGTGAATCAAAATGACTTGTTTTCTATCATTGATACTCCTACATATTAACCTAGACATATAAATCAGATTAATATGGAAACTATTGACAGCTATTTCCTCATTGTTGTTATTATAATCATTGCCAAAATTATTGTTAGACAATGCCAGAATCTTCAGTAATCTAGTGATTTTATACCAAATCTATTGCCAAAATCAAGGACCTCTTTATTATTATTATTATAACTTCTTATCAAATTTATCATAAATCAGGGTAGTTTATTGGTAGTTTGGATACAGATCAAAACATATTGCTGATTTAGCAGCAGAACGAGACAAAATGTTTTTGCTAAAATTCAGTATTTATTACGATTTAAAAAAAAAGATGCTGTGTAAAGGTTGAGACAACATCCAAATGATGCCAGACAACCAAAAAATATCTATATGGTCATTTATGACCTTGTCACTCACTACAAGGTAGAATCAGCTTTAATATCCAACAGACCCAGAAAGAATTAGTTTACTGTCTAAAAATTAATTGATCCTCTTTAAAGTTCTTTGCTATATGCCACAGATTATAGTAAACTGTGTCTAGTAAGTGATATGTTGTTATCCAATTGTAAATGTTTTATTTATGAAGTGTTCATTTTACTTTTAAACATTTTCTTTATAGTTCTTTGGACAAGAACCAGATAACATGTATAAGTAATACAACATTCTCAGAGATGCCAAATATCCGTCACTTGTAAGTATACAGTGTTACCCTATAGCAGAGGGTCAGGATTAGGGGGTAGTTTGGCGACAGGTTGTTGTATTGGTAAATCTAGGATAAAGTAGAATCCATCGTAGTCAATCTATGGTCCTGTCACCTGTCAAATGTCTTTCAACCATTTTGGAATAGATCTCTACATCATTTGTTTATTAGATACACACCCTTAAGGGTGTTAGGACGATTTAGTTTACTGTAAACCAACTAATTTTCACGACTTTCGCGAGTAGAAAAATTACGCGAATATAAATCGTCGCGAATATGTTAAACTTGGATCTTTCCTCATTAAACTACATCCATTCAATTAGAAAATCGCGAAAATTAAACAGCCACGAAGTGGACTAGAAAGTGTTAAAAGCGAAATAAACTATCCGCAAAAATAAATTGGTTGACAGTATCTAATTTATACAAAGATATCATGATTAATTGAAAAGGACAGATTTCAATAATTTAGGAGGGGGAGACTTTCAGAATTTTGAACTTATTTTATGGTAAAAGCATGATTAATGCAGGATATCCAATTACATTTGATGAAATCTTTGTACAAAGTATGATTGAACAATACTAAACTATACAGCAAGATCTGTATCTTTTTGTACTATATTTAAGTGTATCGAAATAAACTCAAAAGAAGAATGTCTATAATGTTCTTTTATTTTTTCATACTGCTAATGCTTGTTATTATTTCCTTAATGTGGAATGTTACATATTACAGAATATTTTACAAGAATTATGTTTGTAAAGTAAATGGATTAAGTATTACTTTAAAATGAAAACATAAAGCTATTTCCAGCTGATATTAAATTTGATAATAGCTGATAAATTCTTTCCTATAAACTGTAAATGATTTTGTTTAATCTTTTAGAATTTATAGCCATTATACAAAATACATCAAAGTATGAAATGTGTATAAGTGTTTACAGTTAAGTAAGCTTCAAAATATCTCACTTAGATTCACACATTTGTTGTTACATTTAGGGAAAATTAGAAATACATTATTTTTTTAAAATATTTAAATGGTACCTTGTTTAAAATAAGGGAAACACATGCAGGGTAATTTTGAGTATGAATATGGAAGCTTATATAAAGTCTGCTTAAGGTCAAGTTACAGTAAATGGGCTATGTCACAGATTTTGGTAAAATTTTGCATACAACTTTGGCTCGTTGAACTATAACTGAAAATTGAAAAAATAATGTATTTCAAGCACATAGAATTGGTGCAAAACATTCTTAAATTTATTTAAGAATCATCAAATCTCCATAGATTTTTTTCTTAAAAAATAATTGTTGTTGATACATAAATTTCTATTTGCTTTTTATACAAATGTTAAAGGAGCATTAGCTGTCAAATTCATGTTCACCGATTTGACTCAAATTCTCAGATTTGATTTATAACATAGAAAAAGGTATATCCAAATTACAAAAAGTCTTAAATAAACAATTAACAATGCATGGACTCGATAATATGTATCAACATTTCGTGTGTATTTTTGTCTAGATGTCATCTAATTAACCATCGAGATGACCTCCGAAGACTGCCGATGGTCATACAATCCGATATCAACATAAATATAAATATAAACAGATAGTGACCACGTGCAATTGGATTTTTTCTTAGTCTGTTTGATTTCATACTGTAGGTTAAAAAGTATGTTTATCATCGTTTTTACCTGTATAAGAATGATTTTTTGTGGATCAAATCAGTCAACCAAATGGTTCAGCCTTGTTTCACTTTCAATGTTGACATTATTTTCCTTTTAATAGCTGAATACATACATAACCCAGGTCCAGCTATGGGGTTTAATTGAAGGTCACATGAATACGGATTCAATGAGGTTGAATTATTCATTTGCAAGTGAATAATTCATCAGCAATGTTTCTTAGCTTATTTTGACAAAATTGAACCAAATTGGCTGCTAAAAGCGAATTATTATTTCTTTATTTCACTTTGAAATTCATTAATGATTGAACAAAAAAAAAAAATCATATGTTAATTTTTTTTATATCTCGTAGCTAATGCCCCTTTAATCTATTTTGAAAGAATTCAATCAGTAATATTTAAAAAAAAAAAAAAGAAAAGGAGATAAATGCATTTTTTTTTCCATTTTCAGTTATAGTTCAACAAGCCAAAGTTTTACCAAAATCTGTGCCATAGCCCATTTACTGTAACTTGTCCTTAAAGAGGCAAATACATATACAGTTTGTTTTGATGCTTTATATACATTATTTATATTAGTTTTGATGGTGCCTTTTCTATCTTATAAACTTGGGTATGGTTGCTGATTATTTCCCCAGAAAGTCATTTTTACCCATGTTAATATTTATATGTAAAGTTTGGGGTTAAAATTTCTTGTTTTTTTACAATATTTTGTTATAGCATAAATATTGATCAAGATATCGTGACAAACTACATTTCAAGGTTGATACATGTCATATTTTATGTAAAACTAGTGATGTGATATGGAAAACTTAATGAAATAACATGTAGTAATAACGTAGCATAATAACAAGTTTTGGGTGATACATACATTTAGGTAATAAGTTTAAAAGCTGTATGAAAGTGATGATGTTATGTAGCTGTATGAAAGTGATGATTTTATGTTTTTGTTCGAATTATCAGAAGCAGCTACAGGAAAATTAGATAATTATCTGCATATAAAGCAGTGTAAATGTTCTGGCTGTTGTTACTGATGTATCAAGATAAATCTATCTTTTATTCAAATTAATAAATAATCTTTAATGTTTTCTGGAGGCTATAGCATAGTTTCTACTGTCTGGTTAGTGTTTATGTTACTGGTGAGGCCAAGAAATATATTTGATTGTTTCCTGGAGGCAAAATCATTGCTTCAGATATTTATTTAAAGCATCAATATTTTTTCAACAGGTTATACCATTGCTTCTTTTATTTGGTTAAATCTTATTAAGATCAAGAAGAACATTTTGTTATCAGATAAAAAAAAAATCCAATAAATGAATGCTTAACATTTATGATTTTTGCCATTTTGTATCATTATAATAAAAAATATGAAGTCAAATTTAGCGATATTCCTGAATACATAGATTTCCCAGAATGCCATACATATTGTGTACTTCTGATATGTTTGAATTTTAAGATTTGACCATATTGCTATCTTATTCATAGAATATAATTTCCTTAGAAGTATTTACTTATAATATTCTCTTTATTTTCAGGTCATTATTTAATAATCAGATCAGATGTGTGATGGAGGGTGTGTTTGATAAACAACATTATTTAGCACGTTTGTAAGTTTTCTCTTGATCTTTTTTATAGTTTACTTTTAAAATGAACTATTCATCCTGTAGGCTTATTCATGCTTTCTTTGCAACATTTACATATTGTGTAGAATGTTGCATTTTAACATGATTGATATTAGATATATCAAATACTATGAGAATTGGTTTATGTTTATGGATGCAAATTTTATGGTTATTTTTGTTAGGAAAATCATTGTTTGATGGGAGTTTGAAATTGTTGCTTCTGACTTGTAAATTCAAGTCATAGCCATTGGAATATCTGCATTTCATTGAGTATATATAATTTTCACGATCTCCTCCATCCATGTATAGAATTCAATGAATCTGTATACTTTTACTTTCACCAAGTATTAAAACTTTATGTTTATAGCGTTGAATCTCTTTGAATTGATTGGCTGCTAGTGAATTCTATAAATAATTAGATTTCATTCTATATGTCAATGATTTTTTTGGAATACCAGGTGTCCTCAGATATACTTCAAGGACTTCCAATTCAAATTTTTATTAAGTCCATTAATCAGTCAATAAATAGATACTTAACTGTCTAGACCAGTTCATCCTTCCTTTACAAAGAAATACTTAAAAATACTTCACATTTATCAAAATGTTTAAATACATAATTAATCAAAGTTAATCAGGATGAATTAAGTGTATAAAAGTGTTAGTGTTATTGTGATAAATTGTCACCTTATCAATAACATGTAAAGTTAGATTGTGTCATATAAAAACTTATTTCATTCTTCAAAATTTAGACTTAAGTACTGCCTATTTTATTTGTACCTTTGAAAGTCATTGAAGTTACGTAAAGGGGATATCATTGAAATCTCTCTTAAGCATAGGGTCCTGGTAAACAATAGAATTTCTAGTATACAAATAGGTTACTCTGCAGTAGTAGCTAACCCTATTCATGCTGATTACTTGTTCTAGCCATGAAACTCTGAACTAAGTGTTTTAGTAAAAAAAACTTGCATTATCAGTTTAATCCTATGTTAGAGCTTTACAATATTTAACAAATAGATTTTACTTGGTTATTAATTCGTACTTTATTTGGCCTTTTTAACTTCAGGCATCACTGATGAGTCTTTTGTGCGTGTCATACTGCCGCATACATAATTTTTAATCTGGTATCTATGATGAGTTTATTGGTAACTTTGATACTACTATTTTTTAAGGGATTTCATAGAAAAGCATACACATTTTGTTTACTTATTAAATTAAGTGGTCAACAATAACAAATTTCTTACTGGTTCTTTTATGAAATTGTTATAGTGATTCCAGTGCATAGTTTTTAAAATCAAAATTGAAAGATTAAATTTTCACAAATTAAAGTTATTTTTAAGGAGAAAGATTTCATTGTATGACCTAAAGTATTCTTCACATGCTTAAATCACTTGGATTACAAATACCCCTCCTAAGTCAAAAGTCTGTCCTCATCATGTCCCTGAAATACTGGATCCTATTCAGATAATCTACCAAATTACTACCCACAATCCTACATGTGAAATCAACATAAAGAATGAATTCTTTTCATGTATGGACAGTATACTACTGAAATATTTATTCTTAAGCTAGCTGAATTAAACTAGAGTACATCCTGGTATTTTTTCATGATCCCCTGGTGGGTGTATTATGGTACAATTGCCTGAACATTGTGTTTTTGTTTTCAGAAACATGGAAGGTAACCCATTTAACTGTAACTGTCATCTGGGTTGGTTACCTGAGTGGTTAAGTATGAGGAACATTATAACTGGTAATCCAACTTGTAATGCACCTCATCAGTTTAAGGACTCTGCTATCACAGATCTAAAGGCAAAAGATTTTATTTGTGAAGGTTAGTAATTTAAGCTATCATCATTTGAAAGACTTAATTTGGTGAAATATTTTATGTGTTACGAGTGTTGATTATTATGACATTTTCTGAACGTGTATGTTATCACAGTCACTAGCCACATATTGTAACATACATGTTTATTTTGTACATAAGTTAAAAAAAAATGTTTACTGTAGATTCATTTTTATTCGTGGGATACCAGTTTTTTTTTTATTTCGTGTTGTTAATTTAAATGTTCAACAAAGCACATATTTTCTATATGATTGTTTGCAGACTTATGCAGTACCACAAAATCAAACATTCACAATGATACAATTTTCCCTCAATCCACGAGAATTGGTATCCATGAAATTATATGAGTCAAGGACTGAAATGAATTCTTAAAACAAGTTAAAAATTAGGTAAACAAATTATTACTTGTAATTTCCCCTATCATCTCTTTTTTCTGTATTTTATCCATTTTAGTTCCCTACTTTTCATTTTAATACTGGTAATTAAAAAAAATTAGTTAATTCTATAGTTTTAATGTTGAAAGTGACATATATAATTCCTTTTAAATGTTAATGCCTCATCTTTATTACAGAGAGCAGTGATAGAGGATGCAATATTGGTATACCTCCCTGCTGTAGTGATGGTCCACTCGGTAAGTAATTGTCAAAATGTGTAACACCATATTCCATACATATGTTAATCAGATTCTCTAGGGAGTGGTCATTTCCATTTATATATGAGCACAGTATTATAATTAAAGTTTACTGGCATGGTTGAATTTTATTGTAATTTTATTTAGAGTTTTAAAACTGAAGCATTCACACATGAACTGAACTAAGACAACAAAATGTTTTAACCCTGTGTTGTACCATTGTATTAAAGAATGGGAGTGTATCCAGCTGTTGTAGGGTTATTGCTTTATTTTCTATATATTTCCAAGAAGCATGTGCAAAAGACTAACAGAAATGTGATACTAAACTGAATTTTGTCATGAATTCTCCATTTATCTAAAATTTATTGTCAAACACGTAAACTGTATAGGCAGAGCTTGTTGTTGCAGTCTGTAATTAAGCATTGCAATGGTCCATTTATAATTCTTCATTGAGTGAGGCTGTTAGAGAAAGTAATTAAAGTATCCATTATAATTATTGTTATATTAGCAATATTCTTTTGTATGTTAGACATTATCCTATTGTGTGTAATTATCATACTTTTTTGTTAATGGTTTATTGCTGGCTAAGATAAGTGATCCTCCAAAAATTCATTAACACCTGTGCTTAGAAGGTCCATGAATTACAAAGAATATTTTCAAAACACTTCATGTAAAATTTCATGTTATAATCATTGTAATTTACTTAATAATTTGTATTGAAAGATATGAGATTCTCAGCTTTTACTAGTTGACTCTTGAAACACTTATGTTTTTACTTTATTTTTAACTGCATCTACAGATATTTCTCGGTAGTTTTGGAAAGCTACATAAAATATGCCTACTCCAACAACCAAGATTTCATTTTTGTTAGGTATTCACTTTTTAAAATTTAACTGCCAAGACACATCTGCTGCCCTATAATAGAGTTGTTTGCCTTCAAGTGCAGCTGTACAGTGAAAGTTAAATGTAGTTTTATATTTGCAGAATCAGTTGACAGTTGTCACCCTAGAGCCTTTTGTCCACAGAGCTGTACCTGTACTGGTACTGTAGTTAGATGTAGCAGAAAGAACTTGAGTACGATTCCAAGTGGTATACCACAAGATACGACAGAATTGTGAGTTACTTCTATTGTTTACCTTACCTGATAGTTCATTGGTTTGATGTAAAAAAAAACATCTTCTTTTTAAATGATGATGATGGATGTCTGATTAAAATCTTATTCAGGATGAGGACCTATCGATGTTATATGAGTACTAACCTTGCTTTGTACCAGACTTACACGCTGAGCCGGATTTTTTAACATGCTAATTCACAGTCTGCAAGAATACTTGCAGGTTCGAACACACAACTTTATACACAGGGGAACATGCTACCAAGAGACCATTGAAGTGGTCTCTTTTTTTTTAAGCCACTTTACAGAATTAGACTCAACTTGACTTGAACTGCAAAAAGAAAACCCTGCCTAAAAACTGTTATGAAAGTTCTTATTTCAACAAGAACATAGAGATTTAAGTAGACTTAGAGGTCTACTTTGTAAATGCTAATTTTTTTTAAAAACTTTATATAACAGAAATATTCTTTCAAAAATCTGTTTCCTGTTTTCCTGAATTCTCTGAGTGAGACATCTTTTGCTGACATTACTTTAGAATACGATATTGTCAAAAAGTCTATAGAAATGGCTTCAATTTTTAAAAAAATTGTGAGCCAATTGCACAATTTGCAGGAAATGGTTGTAAAATTCTGAAATTGATCATTAATTTTCTATTGAAGATGACTGCTTTTTCTAAAATTCAAATAATTTTCTCTAAATATGTGGTGCGAAATTTAATAATGTGATTTGGTTTTAAGAGCTTTCCATAGATTTTAATATTTTATCTCAATCTATGTATTGTTCTGTTTTATGAATTATGTGCTGATTGTACAGATGTATGTAAAGTTTACATTATCTTAAATGCTTCAAGTTATTTTTTACAAATAAGCTGATTTGCAGACGAAAGATGTTTTATAAACTTTGTGTTACAAAACTGTTACTGTAAAAACATTTATGATATCTGTTTTTTTCCTATTTTCAACAGATACTTGGATGTAAACAAGATAACTCACTTGACTCCTGAAATAGGTTCACTGACGAACCTCAGAAGATTGTAAGTAACTTGCTTGTATTTTATTATTAGTTTGAAGTGATTTTTTTCAGTTACCATTTTTGTTTGTCTTTTAACCTTCATCAAATTAGTTTGTTAGTTCTTTTTTAAAGCCAATTAGCACATAACTGAAGTTTAATTGAATGAGATATGTTTTTTTGTTGTACCAATTTAAATGGACATAGCTTGGTGTTTAATAAATGAAAAAAATCCTGTTTGGTTAATGAATGGAAAAAAAGCATGTGAATTTGGCTGTATAATGAACTTTTTTCTGATGTTTAAGTTCAACTGGTTCTATTTACAGAGATCTGAGTAACAATCTACTGGTAACCTTGCCTGAGAATATCTTCAGTAACTGTACACAGTTAACTGCATTGTAAGTATACAGTGACAGTAGATATCATTCATAATTCATGTCACAAAAAAAAAAATAAAAAATAAAAAATAAACAATCTATCATTGGTAAATATTTGTATACAAAAATAATACAACATAAAAACAAAATGAAATAAATCTACTTAATGAATAATTGTGTACAAGAACTGCTTTATGACAACAACTACAATGTATTGAGCTTTGTTTAAAAAGAGATTACTTTCTGAAGTGCATATCAATCTTGCTATAATAAATTTGGTTGCTGTAAGATGTAAAAGTTGTTTCAAAATAATAATTTTTTGTTATATACTGAAGTTGTTTTGTTTTGTTTTTAGTGGTTATCTTGTTGCTTTTTATGCCCCTGCCACTCATCGACCAGAATATTGAGTTATACACTGTAAAAACAAGTGTTTCAAAATAAAACACTTTTAAAACACATATCAGACACAGTTTTAAAACACTTTTAAGTGTTTAGTTCTAAGCACTTGTGTTTTATATAAAACGTTTAAAACGTAAAAAACATTTTAAACGTTTTATATAAAACACAAGTGCTTAGAACTAAACACTTAAAAGTGTTTTAAAACTGTGTCTGATATGTGTTTTAAAAGTGTTTTATTTTGAAACACTTGTTTTTACCTAAAACACTTCAGCGTTTAATATAAAACACTTTTAAGTGTTTATGAAGGAGACACACTTTTAAAACACTTTGAAGTGTTTATAAATGAGATATGTTTTTGTTTAAACACATGTGTGATTTTTTGTGTACACCGCAAGTGTTTTTGCATTGTATGTTTTGAAATGTGTGTTTTTAAAATGTGTTTTAGCTAAGCATTAGTATTGTTCCTTTTGCTCTTCAAATGACAGGATCTGTATCATTGGCTTGTATAGAAAATCTTACCACTAAAATTTGTCCTTTGCAGTTTCCTATACCCCAAATATTTTAAACTTGTCAGGTTTCATGACTGGAGTATTTTGTCATTATTTACTCATTAATGTTCGAACTAAAAAATACCCTGCATAGTGCAACCAGTTGTTTGTTTCCAAAACAAGGTACATGTTATACCAAGAGTAATCTCCTACACTAATATAAAATTTTGTATAGGCATCATAAATAATGAGAAATAAAAAAAAATGTATGAAATTTTATTCATTGCAATTATTCTTTATAAAATCACAAATATTTTCCAAGATTGATAAAGTATAATAGATGTAACATGTAAAATAATATAAAGTTTCAGTCGCTATATCTGACATTTCTAATTGTTCTTGTTCCTTTCAAATATAAAGCTGATCTGAGTCCCTTCTCATGGTGGCTTTTTGTGTACTTATCCACTTCGTTTTCAACATCATTTTCATGTATGGATATGAAAGTAGTCGACTTCTTCCCTTTGCCTTTGAGTATCCAGTTTCAGGAAGAAATTTGTACTCTGCCTCCTGAAATATTGTTCAATTCATTTATGTATGGCCTTTGAAGGTAATAAAGTTTAAATTATAACTTAAAGGTGAATTTTTACTACCTAATATACTTGAATCTAGATGCCCCTTTTCTTGAAAATAATTGTGAGTTGATATATTGTCATTCTAAATAAAATCTATTTATACATTGCACAGTTAATTACAAAACATATGCAGATATATGTGTAAAGTTCATTAAAAATCAACAGATACCAAATTTATTGTGTTCAAAGTGATTTTCTGGAGAGAAAAAAAAACCTTAACCTTGAAAACTAATGGACAAATGTTAAGACTGAGTGCGCAAAAAAAGAAAGTAAACAAATCTGAGAATTGCTGCACTGTTCCCTGATAATAATGGTTAACAGATCAGTGGTAAACCTCACTTTTCCATTATAAAAGGGTTAACTGATAAGCAATTATTCAGCTGTACTTTCATATGGGGTTAACATTATACATCTTTTTAGTTACACCATTCTATTAATAAGCAACCAATTATATTACTCTTATAAATAAAGTCCACAGTAGATACATTTCGGGGTCTAAGACCGGCTTTTATAGCTGACTATGCGTTATGGGCTTTGCTCATTGTTGAAGGCCGTACGGTGACCTATAGTTGTTAATTTCTGTGTCATTTGGTCTATTGTGGAGAGTTGTCTCATTGGCAATCATACCACATCTTCTTTTTATACATCTATGTTGATGTACAGATATTATGTCATATTGAATTTTTAATGGTAATATATATGACACCAGTTTATTTTCATTATAATACTCAAAATATTGATGATATCTGTCATAAAAAATGAATTATCATATCTTGTTAATATCTTAAACGAATAAAAATGATTTTATAAATAGGAGTTGCTTGAAAAATACATGTTACTATGTAAATCTATTCATACCTTCAATTCTTTTTTTGTTTATCTTTGGTAAGACACCTCAGAACTTTTTCAGGTTTACTTCCTATAACCTTCATATTCATTTATACTTCAGCATCTTGATAAATTAAAATTCATCCAATATCTGGAACAGAAATATTTTTTTTTTATGATATTTAGTCTGCAATCGTATAATTTATATGTACAATGTACGAAAATGTACATTGTTTGAATTGATAGCTTGCATTTGCACTTTTGGTTATGGGTTTTGCTCATTGTTGAAGGCCATACAGTACCCTATAGTTGCTTACTTCTACATCATTTGGTCTCTGATGGAGAGTTATCTAATTGGCAATCATACTACATTTTATTCTTATATGTACCTACATCCCATTTTTGTAATCAATACCGACAAAATGACTGAAACCTGAAACACATATTATTTTGTTTGGCATGACTCTACCAATAAATCTAAGTTTGTATTTTCAATGTTTTTTTCTGTTTTCTTCTCAATGAAATCATGGTCATATGAGGACCCTTAAGCTTACATGTAATGCTCTGGTTAAAATGTTGACTTTAAATTAAAAGGTAGACCCTGATAATATGTACTGCAACACACAAATACAAATATCTCAAAACTATTGTTTTTCTTATGTATGTATATTAACATGACTCAGTATATGTACATTTATGTTTCATTATTCAAAACAAAGTCAAGACAACTGTTTTGTTTGGAAATATTGAAGTCACAGAAGGATAGACATAGGTAGCACTATACGTATGCCCCTGCCACTTATGGCCGGGGCATAAAAATAACATACCATGATTTCAGGTGTTTCTTCTTTTTCTTTTTTTTTTCTTTTGCCTGTTTCTGCGTTCTTCATTTTTTTTTCTTTTGAATGCTGTCCAATGTACTCACTGCTGAAAAACAGTAAAATAAAATATGATACAATATAATAGACAAATGAGGTAGTTAAATTGGATAGGCAACACAATTATGATTGCAGGCCATAAACCTAATTTGTCTTACAATCTTTAACTTTAGCCTGATATTCTACCTCCTTGTAAAGTCTTACATTTGTACAACAACTTATACTAAATAAAATGGAATTCTGAAGACAGAAGTACATTTTATCCTGAAAAATTTATATTTGTTCAGTTAACAGGTTAATTGTTGCAACATAATCATGATTTTTTTTCAATATAAATATTTAAATCACTAGCATGACCTAGTCCTTGCTACAGAATGTACATATGAACTGAGACTATATAAATCTATAACAGTACATGTATAGTCTCAGCTGGGACTATTATACTAAAGTTAGTATAATAGTCCCAGGTCTCAGGTGTAAAAAACAGAGGCGGATTTAGGGTGGGGAGGTAGGGGGCCCCCATTTGTTGGTTGGTTATCTAAGAATCACTGAAGCAGGACTGGAGCGGGCCCCCTCTTAGGCAGTCAGTTCCCCACCCTTATGAAAATTTCTGGATCCGCCACTGAAATTTTCTATATTTGCTACTGTACTGTCAGTAGATATCTCGATTTTCATTTGTTTTCTTTCAATTTTAATAACAGTTTACATGCAAAAGACACATACACATACATACCCACAAATCAACAAACTACATTATTAGCATGATTAGTATTACACCAGGGACTTTCTATACTAAGTACTTACTATAGAAAGTCCCTGATTACACAGGAACAAAAACAGTGAAACACCTTAAGTTAACCCGACATGATGTCATGTATTTTTTCTATTGATTATGAGATAACAATTAAGAAGCATAATTTACATTTTGTAATCTTATAGTTAATATTATAGTCTTACAAAAATTAACTAACATCTTTGTTGTGACTTGTGTGTCTGTTGAAAAACTACGGGAAAATAATACAGAAGATTGCTTTCAAGGGAGAAAACTTATCTTGCTAAATATATTGGGGTCCTAAATGGGGTGATTTTCAGATGAACAAAAATACAATTTGTCGAGTATTGTCGTTCGTAAATCAGTCGTTTCTTAGATTTTCTTTTGTGAATACACATACGAAAACTAGTCAGGCTTATCACTATATCACATGGGAAGATATACTGTTTATCCTCGTTAAACGAAGAATTTACTACTATGAAAATCCTTGCTGTACCCCAGCAGTTAAGCCTAACTTAAAACAATTTTATTTAAATGATCACAAAAGAAAGAGTTATATTAAATATTAGGATTAAATATTATAACGCTTATGTCAGTCGTGTAAAAGCATTTGTAAATAAATGGCCGCCAAATTAATCTGGGATGCGGCTTTCGACCAAAACATTCCACATCGGTTAAAATATTAATACTAATTTGCTTGTCCGAGGATAATTCCACAATGAAATTAAACAAGAAAAGTAAAACACGAATTAGATGACAATAATTTTTATAACAATTAAACGTACCTTTTAATCCAGATTGTAATCATGATTCTTCTAGCCCTGTGTACATTTCCCTCTCAGCTTCAGCTAGGACACTGGATACCTTTGGCGGTATTAAAGACTGGTCACGTGTGTATCATATTACGAAAACGCGAGTGTTTTTCTGTGTGTTTAGTTTTCATATGTCAAAAACGCTTATCCGTTTTGACAATATCTGAGCGATGACCCTCTGTCAATATTTATTGCTGCACCCCCGGATGATCATGTCTAGTATTTGTTTAATTTTACCCTTTTTTCAGTACTTATAGTTTTTTTCAACCAAATTTCAATTATAATCCATAGGAAATCATATACAAAAAAGACCAGGAATTACTTTTCTTTATCTGAATTGCATGGTTTAAAGCTTTAGTTACATGACGTTTTTTACTATTTAAAGTGTCCGGCTTTGCTATTGAAGCTGATCACTCGACTTTATGTTGATAAATCGCTAAACAATACATTGGGGCCATTTCTTTACCGTCATTATAAACTGTTTAAAATAAAACACGAGTGTTTAACGATAAACAGAAGAAATTTGTCAAAAGCACACATGTTTATTCTAAAACACTTGCGTCTAAAATAAAACATTTGCGATTTTCTTACAAGTGTTTGAAATGTTTTTAAAATTACACTTGTTTTTACAGTGTAACCATTTAGAATGTATATTTATCTGTTACAGAATATTGAGTTATAACCATTTAGAATGTATATTTATCTGTTACAGAATATTGAGTTATAACCATTTAGAATGTATATTTATCTGTTACAGAATATTGAGTTATAACCATTTAGAATGTATATTTATCTGTTACAGAATATTGAGTTATAACCATTTAGAATGTATGGCAGATACAACTTTATCCTCCCTTAAAAGACTTAGAGTTCTGTAAGTATTTACCAATTTATTTTATAAAAAAAGAAAAAGAAAGCATGTACCGGTAACTGTTTGAATATTTTGCAATTTGTTTTCATCGTAATATTTCTCAAAGGATACAATAATGATCTTATTTATATGTTTTTGTTAAGATTGATGATGTATAAAAGTAGGGAATCCATAAGTTGAGCCTTGTATTACCACTGTCACAATACTGTTTTTTAAAAGTGACAAATTGTAAAAATCACATCTAACATTTTGCAATTTGCAGTCAAGAGTCTATACATTTACTTTTTTGGTACATTTCTGATACAGCCATAAACCAAATGTTCATTGCCTATACAAAATTACATAAAAGATAAGAATTGCATAAATATTCTTAAACCATGAACAATGTACTTTTTTCAGATCATTACATGGTAATAATTTCTCAACCATTCCATATGGAGCCTTCAAAGATCTCATTTCTCTCACTCATTTGTAAGTATAAATGTATAGTGAAATATTTGGAAAAAAATGTCTCTTGTAATTAATTCTATGTGTTACATGTTCAGAGTTAAATTCATAATTTGATGTTACGTTTTTCAAGTATATAGTCAAACTTGAAATTATTACTGAATTCTAGACATGTTTGTAAATTGAACACAGCTAACCTTCTTTAATTAAAAAAAACTTATTATTCATAACTGAATATTATTTGACGTCAATTAATTTTCATACAAGACCAACAAAATATATTTTTTTTAACTATTTCAATATATTAAGATTCAAAATTGCATATGAATAAAAGAAATTTGGGGTGTATGATCAAGTGACAGCAACTATATAAACATAACAAAACAAACCAGGAAAGCCATAAAAAGGTCAACTTAAGGTCATCTTCAATAGACAAGTGTCTGAACCCTATTTCAAGCTTTAAATTGCCCCAAGTCTGTGTTTTTCTTTGTATATATAGAAATCATTTAAATGTGCTATTTTTATCATTCAGAGCTTTGGGAGGTAACCCTTTCTATTGTGACTGTAATTTAAAATGGTTGTCAGATTATATCAAGAAAGACTACGTAGAGTCAGGTATAGCCTCCTGTGCTGGACCTCTACAGATGACCAATAAACTGATCTTGACCACAGATTCTACAGCATTCCAGTGTAATAGTAAGTATTCTCACATTAGAAATAATAAAATAGTAAAATAAAGTATATGTTAGTCTCTTATAATTTCACATAGAAATGACCTTTTAAAAAAATCTGTTAATATGGATTACCTTGTAAATCAGTTTGAATACGTAATCTTCTGTATTGTTACGTAACAGTCAGGGAAAACAGAGTAGACATATACTCATAAATGAATCTGGTATATTTTCCTATTCAAATGTCTAGAGTATTGCCTAATAGATATAAAGACAAGACATGACAATATTTAAAGCTAATTACATAGTCATGTCAAAGTGGCTATCTGTGTATGATTTATAAAATATTGTCTTTTTTTTTAAACTTATGAAGCATTTCATTTTATTATTCTCTAGCTAAAGAAGATTCAGGACTACTCAGTAAATGTAATGCCTGCCACAAAAACCCCTGTCTCCATGATGGAACCTGCCAACTTCAAGACTTCAAAAACTTTACTTGCCAGTGTACACCTGGTTACTATGGCAACACATGTCAAAATGAAATCAATGCTTGTTTTGGGAATCCCTGTGTGAATAATGGAGAGTGCAGTGTGTTACACCATGGGAGATTTCAGTAAGTCATTGATGTTTTAATGGATAGGAAATTCATTTATAAACACGGCTTTACTGTAATGTTACAGTGAAAAGTAACTAAGATAATGTTTATACCAATTATATATACTAGATAAAAATAATGAGATTTAGTATGATTGCCAATGATACAACTATCCACCAGAGTTCAAATGACGAAGATAAAAGGTACCGGGTATTATAGGTCACTGTATGGCCTTCAAAAATGAGAAAAACCAATACTGTATACTGTATAGTCAGCTATAAAAGGCCTTGACAGGACAAATGTGAACTGAAGTTCAGATGAATTTTTTTTTTAATTTCTAACTTCATACATAAGTAATATGATATGAGTGATTTGGTAAATAACCATGAACATTTCTGTTACTGTTTTGTTATTTATGAAAAAAAGTTTGATTGAAAAAAAATCTTGTAGGTGTGCCTGCCCTGATGGTTTTCGAGGAGAGAGATGTGAAGAAAATATAAATGACTGTGTTCAACATAGATGTCAGAACAATGCCACATGTGTTGATGGAGTACAGACATATACATGTAAATGTGCCACAGGATTTAATGGTAAGCATGTATACTTTTGCTAGTGTTCCCATATTACCTAACTGTCATAATAATTTCAGTGATTGCAATGTTAAAATAGAGTAAATAACAATGAAAATATAAACATTTAAAACATCTCTGATATATACAATTCTTAGATATTATACCTTCTTAGAACATCTCTGATATATACAATTCTTAGATATTATACCTTCTTAGAACATCTCTGATATATACAATTCTTAGATATTATACCTTCTTAGAACACCTCTGATATATACAATTCTTAGATATTATACCTTCTTAGTTTGAATTGACCGATCACAGAAAAACAGTTCTTAGTTTTGATTGTTGGTTTGATAAGCATTTGGAAAAAAAGATTTCAAATTTCCTTTCAATTCTCAGAGCTTTTGGTCTTTTTCGCGATATTGTGAGTAATTGTTCTCAATGTATGAGATTTTTTTGCTATTTTAGGTAAACATTGTGAATCCAAGATTCCTTTCTGTCAAGGTGTTTACAACTTTTGTCAAAATGGAGCTAAATGTATCAGCACAGAGCATGATTATAGGTATGTAAAACGAATTTGTTTGGATTTATTTTCATTCAATCTTGAATCCGTAAATTTGTTTGTCATATTAACATAATTTAAACATATTTTATAGTTCATACAAAAAATTCACATACAAATTTACAAATACATGGAAACAAAATGTATCACTGGCAATACTTTCATCCGTTTCAATAAATATATGTGTATATTTCAGGTGCCAATGTACCAAAGACTGGTCAGGTAAAAATTGTACTGAGAACATTGACGATTGTAAAACTCACATCTGTCAGAATAGTGGCCGATGTATAGATGGTGTAGGGACATATAATTGTCTCTGTTCTAAAGGTTATACGGGTAAATACTGTGACGTACCTCCAGCAAGGAAACAGTTTTATGCTGCTGCTGGTCCCTGTCAGCATCATGACTGCCAGAACAATGCTGTATGTCATCCACAGAAAGGCAATAGAGAATACTCTTGTGAATGTGTGTCAGGTAAATATTACTTCATCCACATGACAAACTGATTACTGGATTTTTTTTTTTAATCGGGATGTTCTTGATTTGCTAAAATTACAGCAGGATAGATACATGTATCACAAAAACTAAAAACATGCTTGTTAAATATTTTTAACTTATTTTGATTGCACCATTTCCTGAAATCACCATAACTTTCTGCATTTACAGTAACATGTATATATAATGATAAATACTTGTTGCATGGAGATATATTTTATATTATTCAGAAAGAAAGTTTGCCTGAATTAATCTACATAAATGTTTGGTTCTGTAGAAAACAGAGAAGTATTTGATTGATTCATATATATATATATAGATATGAATCTACTTGCATTAATATAAATTATATCTTTATAACATTTGTTTAATTATTATTTAACTTTTGTGTTACCAGTCCATATGTTAAAACCTTTAGTTTTGATAAAGTTCTTTTTTCTTTTTCTCAGGGTTTTCAGGTAAAAAATGTGAGAAGTTAAAGAGTGTGACATTTAAAGCACAAGATTCTTATATTCAAATGTCCAAGATAGATTTCCAGTCAGAAGTTAATATCACTATTTCCCTGAAGACCGAATCAAAGTCAGGACTTATCTTCTACACAGGAAGTGAACCCCACTTAGCTGTGGAATTGTTCCGTGGTCGAGTGAAAATAAGTTTTTACACTGGTGATGATCATGCTTCCACCATGTACAGTTATATTTACAGTTTTGTTACCATTGATGATGATAAGATTCATAAAATACAGTTAATGGTACAAAGACGTAATATTACCATGAGGATTGATGATGGGAAGCCGCAAAGCGTTATTAACCAAGGGAACAATGATTTTCTAAATCACGATGAAGATGTCTACCTTGGGGGAATGCCACAAGATGTAGGACAATCTGCAAAAGATAAATTCCACACACGTAATCTTGCAAGTTTCAAAGGTTAGTAGTACATGACATGAATAAAAGGTGATGTACAGTATACATCAAGGGAGACAACTAACCAATGACAGAACAACCTATAAGGGTTCTTAAGCTCGATAGTTCTAAATGACTCAATTAAGAAATAAAATATTGCATGTAACAGTTGACTATTGAAATAAGGAGGTGTGGTATGATTTCCAATGAGACAACTATCCTCCAGAGTTTAAATGACAAAGATAAAAGTAATTATATGTCACCATACAAATTTAGACATGAGATTATAAGTTCATATTTATCAATCTTGTGAAGTAATTATTTTAGTAGCTTTTCATATAAAAGAAGGCAGACATGATACATCAACAGTTCTCCCAAAACCTGTGAAAAAATAAATATTTTTTTTGAAGTATTTATAAAAGTTTATTTAACATTTAAGTTCTGCATATTTGAGACATTATTGCATAGAATGATTGAACATTGAAGCATAAAAGAATTAAGAAATCGTTAGTTTTTTTATGATGTGGTAACCATGTGTTATACATTCTTAGGTTGTTTCCAAGAAGTATCTGTGAACGGAAAAGTATTAGATTTCACTGCATCTATTTATAACCACAAAGTAATGCCAGGATGTAAAGTTGATGTTTGCCATAACAATCGATGTAAAAAGGGACATTGTAAACCAAGGAAAAAGAGAGGAGGTTACAGGTGTAAATGTAAGAGAGGATATTCAGGAAAATTCTGTGATATTGGTAAGCTATTTAATAATTGTATTCATGTCACATGCTTCTATATAAAAAAACCAGGGTTACCCAGTATTTAAGAATTCCTAAATGATTGATTTTAAATTGAACAATTCTATGTGCTAAACTTAAAAAGTAAAATATTGATTCTATTATAGAATAGTTATCCTCATCATGTATTTTGTAATATGATTTTGTGGTGAAATTAAATTGACATATGAAAGACTATTTATTGTTCAGTCTTTCTTTGACATTATTTTTATTCAATTATTTTCCAAGGTTTGATCAGGTTGTAGAGAGTAGTGAATATTGTTATAAGCTTCTTTTTTTTAATTCAAAAAGAGTTTATTCCTGATTTAGAAGTGAAATTATATTCTGATGTATTTGTACAAATATATAATTTCAAAGCACAACTTTATAGCTAATGATTTGCCAACATCAATAATTCACTTACGCTGAGTTCACTTGAAACTATAGAGTCGACTTCAGAGTTTCAAGAGTATCACATGAACACACTTGAGTTGCTATTCAGAACAACTCTTAAGTAAAACTAGGGTGCTGCCCCTACCAAGCATAAAAAAATGAAGAAATCTGAATGGTTTGACGTCATTTAAGGGTTGCTCGAGTTAAACCTTGCTTCAGTGGGGGTTGGAAATGGGGTAATAGGGGTTAACTCTAGAGGTTCAAGTGAACTCGGATGGTTGAAACCTGTGTACCGGTAAGTAAGATCAACTTGCATTGTTTTTTGCTTTTGTTTCATCAATTTCAATCATCTCATTTTAATGATTTTAAGTCCTTATGTGATGCTATAAACAAATGATAAAAGTTGATTATATGATGAATTTAATTATATAGTTTTCTTCTTTTTTCAGCACCATCATGTTCACGTAAAGTTTTCAAAAACATTTATGTTGATCCAAAAACAGACTGTCAATCACGGACAAAAATAAAATTCCGCGTTTGTGAAGGATCTTGTGGAAAAGACTGTTGTAAGCCTAAAAAAATCAAAACACGGAAAGTGAGACTATATTGTAAAAATGGTTCATCGTATGTACATAACTTACCTGTAATTAGAAGGTGTGGATGTAAAAAATGTTAGCCATATGTGTATCTTATATTGAGATAAAAATGCAGCAGACGACATAATGTGATTGTCAGACAATGGGAAGGAGGGCGTGATCCTCCAAAGATTTCGGGTTGCTGGCTTGACATTATAACATATCAGAGAAGAATACATGTTATGTCAGAATGAAGACACATTTTAAGGTCATAAGGTCATAACTGAAACCTTTGATTGTTTATTGGTACAGAAATATACTTTTGTTTTCAAGTCAAACAAAATGGCTGTTGTTATTGTTATTGTTTATTTTTATTATTATTGTGACACAAAGTTGTAAACAATTTCCTGTAAATTGTTGTGCTTTTATATATTTGTATTGAACAGAGATTGACTGCCGTTATCATAGGTAGTTACATACATGTTAAAGGGAAGCAACTCCTGAATGTCAAACATTACAGCAGAAATACCAACATTATCATACATAGGCCACAGTGAAGAAAATCTACCTCAGTTTAACCAAATGTATACAGTTATGTTAAATGTTGTATTTCATTACAGTTAAGTCTTCACATTAAAATACAAAACGCTGTACTTCCCAAAAGTATGAATCTTGTACCAATTTGATAACATTGACTTGTAAGTTTTCATGACTTGGTTTCAGATCATTGATATGTTCAATGATAAATACAAGGGATAGGTAAATTCCCTAATTGTATGTTAAAAGGCATTAAATACATGAGAGCCCTGACACTATATGAATAAGGTTAAATTCACTATTAGACATGTTCATACTTTTTAATACACAATAATATTAAATTGAGGAATATTTGTGGATGAACTTGGATTAAACAAGTGACAAAGTTTATCTACAAAATATCACATTTTTGAACTTCCACTTCATGAAAAAAACTTGCTGTTTGACTTGAGGTAAACTTTTATGTACATTAAATCATTTTCAACTTGTATTACATGTATTTATTTATTATAATGTACATTTTGTTGTTTATATTTGTAAAATTTTAAAAGTATACACAATGTAAATAGTTGTAATTACATGTGAATATTATATGTTATTGTGATTTATAATGAAGCTTTTATTGTCTTTTTTATCCTTTAGAAAATTTAAGCTGTTTTATGGGTATATTTGTTCCCTTACCTCCTGATACAGATTACATCAGAAAAAATAGTTGAATATAATCGAACTATATTAAATGCAATATTTGCAAAGATTTCTGGTTGTAAATAAGATACATTGGGATTCAACTTTGAAAAGCTATGAATCAAATTAAAAAAATCGTATTTGTCAGAAATAGAGTGACCTAGTCTAAGTACCATATAAAATAGAACAGTTATTGCTAAATGTATTGATGACCTTACATAAGAATGCTAAACAGGGCTAAAGTCTACTACAAGTTATACAAACAGTATGAAATAAGGAGATGTAGTATGATTGCCAATGAGACATCTATCCACCAGAGTTCAAATGAAGTGGATGTATTGTGTTACCCTGTTAGGTATCAATCATTCAGATCGTCAGTGTACTTGCCTTTAAGATTTGCTAAACAAGCCAGTTAAATATGAAAGTAAATTATAAGGTTTCTTATTACCAAATTCCTAACTCCCCACCTATTTATAGCCTTTTGTATTATTGTGATTATGTGAAACCTCATTCAATAGGTTGTATTGTTTTTGGATGTTTCTGTCTTGCTTCATGATATAACTTTTGCTGTTTTTTTCTCTCATTTTTTTTTGTAATTTTAACATGTGACTGATCAACTCAGTCCTTTTCTTGACTATTTTTTTTTATGTCACCTGATTCTTTATACGATAACTGTTATTGTATAATTTACTTTCGGATGTAACACGTCTTCTGATTGGCTGGAAGTTTTTTGTCTATCGTCTAATAGACATAATTTTGTCATTAGACCATGACGTCATCACTGTGTTTTTACATGATTAACTCCTTAAAAATGGAATTTAGAATTAAATTATAAGGAATGGCTGTAATATTTTTTCTGTCTATTGGAAATAACCTAAAAAATGTGGTGCACACTTTTAAATAACCCGCTACGTAGGTTATTCAGTGTACACCACATTTTTTATGTTATTTCTTCATAGACAGAAAAAATATTACAGTCATTCCTTAAATAAACACATATTCTGTGGATTCATGTGCATTCTTTTATATGGTCTGAAAAAAAGTTGCTTCATTTAGACTTTTGGTACCAACTTTAGTGCTTAACAAAAAATTCTGTCATTTTTATTTTATCTCTTTCAATCATTTGAGTGACCTGGCTAAATGCCATGTACACTATAGTTATCACTAGGCTTTCATCATCCTTCCAAGGACATTTCATGTGTGGATCTTCTTCAGAACCATTGAACAGAATGAAAATAAAACTTGCAGAATGCTTTTTACAAGTTTCTATCCAAATGTTATTACTTGGGTGTAGATATGCTAACAACCATAGCTGCCTTGGCTTATTCCTGTTAATTGACTTGGTTAATGAAAAACTTTTCCTAAAAACAGAATCATTGAAATGTAACTTGGTACCAAACTTTATGGGAGCGTGTCTGATGAAGTTATACCAGAAGCTATGTAGGGTTCATGAAAATCGTATCATTTGTCTTTTACAATTATGTTCTTTTGAAAATCTTTGACCAATCCTGTTACTCTAATATCAATTGCAAATTCTAGGAATTGCCACTGAATGTTAAACAAGCAACAATCAATCAATCAAATTCTAGGTAGCTGTCAACAGATGGCAAAGTTTACATTGAAATCCTAAAGGAAGTTAGACTTTTATCTTATTTACAAACACAGGTGGATGGATTGAAATCAAATCAAATCATGCAGAAATGTACTTTGATTTTTATTCCTTAAGACAGAATTGTTATGTGTTCAGTTTTCATTGCAAGTCCAAAGGTAACATGTGAGGTGGAAATTCTTCTAACTCTGCCATCTAATTTTTTCTAAACAGCCCATTTAGATGTTATACAGTAGAAATTACGCATTACTAGCAATTTGAATGCATTTTTCTGTGTACAGAATTATTTTTAGTATTTTGTGAATTAAAAGATCAGTATATTACTTCTGGAACTCTGTATAATTAATGGTTAATTCCCTGATAAATGTTATATATTTTAACCTGGACTAGTATTAGAAAGTGTCCAAATATTTGAAAGATTTAGACTTCTTATTTTTAGCATGTTTTTTTAAGATTATCTGAATCTCAAGTATTGTGCCAAATTTTTATTCAGAATTCAAGAATGCTTTATATTATTGCAAAAATCAGTTACAATGGATACAATGAAATTTACAAAAAAATATTAAATTTTGTTTGATTACAGTTGATTAATATGTTGCCCATTTTTGTCGAGCCTTCGACTTTTGTCGAAAAAGCGAGACATAGCGATCCTACATTCCGTCGTCGTCGTCGGCGGCGTCCACAAATATTCACTCTGTGGTTAAAGTTTTTGAAATTTTAATAACTTTCTTAAACTACCCTGCATTTCTACCAAACTTGGACAGAAGCTTGTTTATGATCATAAGATAATATTCAAAAGTAAATTTTGTAAAAAAAAAATTCCATTTTTACCGTATTTTACTTATAAATGGACTTAGTTTTTCTGCCAGGAAACATTACATTCACTCTGTGGTTAAAGTTTTTGAAATTTTAATAACTTTCTTAAACTATCCTGGATTTGTACCAAACTTGGAAAGAAGCTTGTTTGTGATCATAAGATAGTATCCAGAAGTAAATTTTGTAAAAAAAAAATTCCATTTTTTCCGTATTTTACTTATAAATGGACTTAGTTTTTCTGCCAGTTAACATTACATTCACTCTGTGGTTAAAGTTTTTCGAAATTTTAATAACTTTCTGAAACTATCCTGGATTTGTACCAAACTTGGAAAGAAGCTTGTTTGTGATGATAAGATAGTATCCAGAAGTAAATTTTGTAAAAAAAAAATTCCATTTTTTCCGTATTTTACTTATAAATGGACTTAGTTTTTCTGCCAGGAAACATTACATTCACTCTGTGGTTAAAGTTTTTCGAAATTTTAATAACTTTCTGAAACTATCCTGGATTTGTACCAAACTTGGAAAGAAGCTTGTTTGTGATCATAAGATAGTATCCAGAAGTAAATTTTGTAAAAAAAAATTCCATTTTTTTCGTATTTTACTTATAAATGGACTTAGTTTTTCTGCCAGTTAACATTACATTCACTCTGTGGTTAAAGTTTTTAAAATTTTAACAACTTTCTTAAACTATCCTGGATTTGTACCAAACTAAGACAGAAGCTTGTTTATGATTAAAAGCTAGTATCTAAAAGGAAATTTTGTTAAAATTTTGTTCCATTTTTTCCGTATTTTACTTATAAATGGACTTAGTTTTTCTTCCAGTTAACATTACATAACAGTCTGCAGTTTAAGTTTTTATTTTAAAACATTTATTAGATTCATAAACTATCCTGGATTTTTACCAAACTTGGACAGAAGCTACTTACAATCAAAAGATAGTATAGAGAGGAATATTTTTATTAATTTTTTTCCTCATTTTTGTTGAGCCTGTGATTAACAGCAGAAGTAGGCGAGACACTGGGTTCCGCGGAACCCTTACGAATTTTTACACTTGATAAATATGCTGTTCATTTTACACTTGATAAATATGCTGTTCATTTTACACTTGATAAATATGCTGTTCATTTTACACTTGATAAATAATGCTGTCCAGTTTTTCCCTTATAGTTTACTGTGGATTCATTATTATTCCTGGAGTATCAGTTTTCTTGGATTTTGTGGGTAAACGTGAACCACACGTATAAATGTTTAACAAAGTACAAGTTTTCTATATGCTTGAATGCAGACTTGGGCAAAACCATGAAATCGAATATCCATGAAAATACAATTTAGCTTAATCCAAGAAAATTGGTACCCAAGAAAATAACTGAATCCACAGTATATGATTTCTTAGTTTATCACATATACACCATGACATTAAACAGACAAAAACTTTCTTTTCAATCTTTTATAAAAAAAATCATTTTTATGTCTTAGAAATATTTTTAAGATTTATAAAAGGATATTGTATTTAATAAATGTATGATTATGCCTGATGTATCTAGTTTTACAAAGCTCTGTAAAAATGTGAATCCTTAAATAGTTATTGTTAGATTATGAATATTTATGATATGCAAATTAAAGATTGTTGTTAATATGGTTTGGCATATGAAATGAAAAAGTAAATACAAAATTCATTTAAATTGTTGGCTTCCTTTTGCTTGCCCTTGTTGGCCCCAAACCAGAAGAAACAAAACCAATTCCATGTCTGGCACTGCGTGACTGCATGCAATTTATTGAGTTAACATGTATACTGAAACATAACTGATCATTCCCTAAAATCATTGAAACCAAGAAAGCTTTGATGAAACTTTTCCTTGTACACTTAATGTTGTTAAATTCCAAACTATTGGCAAATAGGAAGTGGTTTCACGACGGATGTAAAAATTGGCTGACGTTCTACAGCTTAACATATCAAGCTGCCGACTAGATATAAAATCATTCCCTTTCATAGAAGCCTAGAAACATTTGATTTAATTTTTCTCCCAAGGTCTTTAGGACTGACAGACAGACAGACAGATGGATGAATGGACCAACAGATGGAATCAGGCAGTTACTAAACCTCCTTTCTCTATTACTGACACAGATAAAAAATATCAAGAAACCTCAAAGAATATGCCCTACACTCTCTTTTGAGTTTTACATATTGTCATCCTGGAACATTTATTGTTTGCTAAACAGTATGGGTTTTGCTAATTTTCAAAGGTTGTATGGTGTTCTGTAGTTTTTCATATCCTAAGCGTTTGCCCATGGAGGGTATTTGTCTCATTATCAATAATATCACATTGCCTTGTTTTTTATATTGTTTAGTACTGTAATGGTAGTGTTATGTTTGATTATTGTCTTGCCTGTGAAGAAAGTCACAAAAGGCGAGACATAGGTATTTCTTTTTAGGCAAAGACAAAGTCGTCGTCGTCAACAGTTGTTTAGTTTTCTGCTTCGGTTATTTTGATAAGTACTACTTGTGATAGACCAATGATATTTTGTATGAAGTTTCATTACTATCAGTACATATCAGTTTGATGACTATTTTGAAGCCCTGCACCCTAGGTCACGGTCCAGTGACTATGAATTAATTAGCAATATTCAATGTTCAGTTTTCCAGTTAAGTCACTTTTATAGGAACAACTTGTGATAGATCAATGATATTTTCTATAAAGTTGCATTAATATCAGTATATATCTTTTTGATGACTATTTCAACTTTCTGTCACCATTGGTCATGGTCCATTGATTTTCAATTAAACTAGTGTAGATAACGATATTTTCTATAAAGTTACGTTATTGTCTGTACATCTCAGTTTGTTGAACATTTCAAGACCCTGTCCACTAGTTCATGGTCCAGTGACTTTGAATTAATAAGCAATGTTGCTGTCCATCAGATTGTCTTTTTCTTAATTGTATGCCAACAGGCAAGACATATCTCTGTGTCAACAGTTTATTATTGAATATTTGGAATAACCCAGCATTGATATGCCTGAATGTCACATGAGCAGTTTATCTTGTTTGAAGGACCTGTGTCATATTTTACTAAACTTGGCCAGAATGATCATGTTGGAAACGAAATAGAGGACTTCAACAGACCTAACTTTACTGCTTTATGGAGTATTTCCCCCATGAGAGGTGTCTTCACCTGACACTTCAGGCAAGTTATATTCAAGTTGGGTAAAGGGGAAAATAGTTCCAAAGTATTAAATGAGATTACTAGTACTATGCCAATTATCAGGGTTTACTGGGTTGGCAGGTTGACTTAACAAACTGTTGACACTGTCTTCTCCTGTCAACTTGTGTCAACCCTGTCAACCAGTCGACCCTGTCCACCTCTGTTATTTCATTGCCTTTCGGCTCTTGGTCTGATATGAAAAAAGCTATGTAATAAGCTATACTTATTGAAGGTCAATAACTCCTATAAGAAGACGTCTGACAGTGTTGATGAAATGTAAGTAGGAAGATGTGATCATTCTAAACATTTCTGCCTCTGTCACATTTTCTCTATCTATAGCGGTTTTCAAGATAATAGACAAAACTTGCATTTTACCCCTGTGTTCTATTTCTAGCCATGTAGATTGGCAGGCAGGGATTTTTTAAAACTAGATTTTTAGATTAAATATTTAAATTATGATTGTGGCCAAGTTTGGTTCCAATTTGCTCAGTTGTTTCAGAAAAGACTTTTGTAAAGTTAATGGACAAAGCTGGATGCTAAGTGGTGAGAATAGCTCAATTGGCCATTTGGGTGAACTAAACAATAGACTGAACCTAGTCTACAAAAAGTTGTAGGCATCATAATACTAGTAAGTAATCATTTGAAGAAATTTAAGGAACAGAAGTTATTTTCATGTGATGTGTTATAAAAAATCTGGATAGAAGTTCAATTTCTTGTTTTAACATATGTTTTTTTGCCTTCAAAAAAAATCTGTTGGACATTTACAATATATTAAGTTGCCTAAAAGCTATGAAAACTTCAAAATACAAGAAATTTCACAGAATCTCACTTTTCAAAAAGGCTGTATGTTGTCTTCTGGATGGGTGATGCTTGAAAGGTTGTAGGTTTCATTCCTGCCATTTTAAACCGAAATAAAATGCTCCCTGCTGGGCGCAGCTTGATACGAACGCAGAGGTCGAACCCTGAACAGTTGGGACAAGTATGGACACATCATTCAAGCTTGATACAGCACTGAATTTGGATTGTGATTAAATATTTGACACAGCATAGGTTTTTGACACAGAATGAATGTGGTCTAAGAACTTAAAAATTTTCAATTTACCTATTCAAACCATATCATTATTATTTGCTTCTATATATAAATCAGAAATAACCAATTTAAAATGGAAAATTTTAAAGAAAAAAAAAAGGAAAAAAAGAAAAAAAAAAAATCCCTCCCCCAAATTTTTTGAACCCCCAAACTCAATCCCAGCCTTCCCTTTGTGGTATGGTACCTTGCAGTACAATTTCATAGAGATCCATACACTTGAACACAAGTTATTGTCTGGAAACTAGAAAAATGCTTGTTTTTAGGCCCCTTTATGGCCCCAAATTCCTATACGTTTAGGGCAATTACCCCAAACTCAAACCAAGCTTTCCCTTTGTGATATGGAACCTTGTAGTACAATTTCATAAAGATCCATACACTTACACACAAGTTATTGTCCTGAAACTAGAAAAATGCTTGTTTTTTGCCCCTTTTTGTCCCCTAATTCCCAAAATTCTAAGGCAATTACCCCCAAAATCAATCCCAGCCTTCCCTTTGTGGTATGGTACCATGCAGTACAATTTCAGAGAGATCCAAACACTTGAACACAAGTTATTGTCTGGAAACTAGAAAAATGCTTATTTTTGGCCCCTTATTCCTAAACGTTTTGGGCAATTACCCCCAAACTCAATTCCAGCTTTCCCTTTGTGATATGGAACCTTGTAGTACAATTTCAGAAAGATCCATACACTTACACACAAGTTATTGTCCTGAAACTAGAAAAATGCTTGTTTTTTGCCCCTTTTTTGGCCCCTAATTCCTAAAATTTTGAGGCAATTACCCCCAAAATCAATCCCAGCATTCCCTTTGTGATATAGAACCTTGTGGTACAATGTCAGAGAGATCCATTCACTTGAACACAAGTTATTGTCTGGAAACTAGAAAAATGCTTATTTTTGGCCCCTTATTCCTAAACGTTTTGGGCAATTACCCCCAAACTCAATTCCAGCTTTCCCTTTGTGATATGGAACCTTGTAGTACAATTTCAGAAAGATCCATACACTTACGCACAAGTTATTGTCATGAAACTAGAAAAATGCTTGTATTTTGCCCCTTTTTTGGCCCCTAATTCCTAAAATTTTAAGGCAATTACCCCCAAAATCAATCCCAGCATTCCCTTTGAGATATGGAACCTTGTGGTACAATGTCAGAGAGATCCATACACTAACACACAAGTTATGTCTGGAAGTTACAAAAATGCTTATTTTTGGCCCCTAATTCCTTAACTGTTGGTACCATAACCCCCAAAATCAATCCCAACCTTCCTTTTGTGGTATTGAACCTTATGGTAAAATTTCATAGAGATCCATTCACTTGAACTAAAGTTAGAGTGCGAAAACCAATGTGTCTTCGGACGACGACAAAGAAGACGACGATAACGACGCCAACGTCATACCAATATACGACCACAAAATTTTTTTGCAGTCGTATAAAAATTTGTATCTTCTAATTCTCAATCAATAACTCGGCATTAAAGAACAACAATAGATCAACTATGAGTTAGAGTAATGTCCCTAGAGTAGGGTAGGATGCTTAAATGCAGGCTCAGCATGTTATTCTAGTAAAAAGAAGTGCATCATCTTAAGAGAGAAATCTGTAATTATCATGAATGTTCTTGTAGTAATTGCCACTGGACATTAAGCAGCTATCAATCAATCACTCATCCCAAAACTAGCTCCTACTGGATTGTCCAATTTACATCAGATATGATTATATACCTTTTAAAGGCATTGGAGTACATTATCTGCCCTTGTTCTGGCTATTGTTACCTATTTTTTGCATAGTATTTGAAGGTTTTCTTTCTTTTTTTGTCCATGGTGTTGTATGTCATATTTAACTGATGGTATCTTTATTTCTTTACAGTCTTTTAACAGTGGTGTTACAAATGAAATCATGTGTGTATGTACAGTTTTATTTGCATCTGGCATTTTAAATTGAATTTTACCTGTTTATTTAATTGTAAGATTGCATATATTGAAGCGCTTCTTTTTGCCCAAGCTCCATCTAAGTAATGTTGGTTTCAACATGTGGCTTTTTTAACAAAGCCCTTGGTAAAATCAATATAAAATTGACAATTTGCGTGATACTTGATCAATATGTGTGAAGTTTGATTGAAATATAGGCTTTAAATAAATAACAAAACAACATTTGTCATCAATCTTCAATATATTCTTGACAAAATTAGTTATTTATCAAAATAAGTACATTTCTTTGGCATCAAAGGACTATTAACTTTTATACATAATGGCACAAAACCAAATTATAAATCATAGAACTAAGAGTGCTAACAACTTCTGTACAACATGGCACTTAAAAAAAATAAAGAATATTTATAACAAACATAGTTTACATTATCTTTTATAATTTTGTTTCATAAATTATTTTTATGAAAATATTTTTATCAGCCTCCATACTAAACTGTCAATTTATGTTTTGAGATACTGATAAATGTCTGTATTTGTGGTGATTTTGGCTCAGATCTGATTTATTTATATATCCCTTTCTTGGTAAGGCATACTATTTCTTTTGATTTTTTTTTTTTTTTGATAAAAAAACTAAGGTAACCACAAATAAACAATAAAATATTATCTCCCTTTACAAGATGTCCAATTTAATGGAAAGTGACTTAGTCAGTTGCTAAAAAAAGTTTAAGATTTAAATGTTAACTTCATACTTTGAATTTAGTTTGAAAATGATCATTACAAATTTATTTTTATGCTAAACTGGAGATAATTCAAACAGATTTACAAGGGAGATAATCACTCTAGATAATGTAAACTATGTATTTGAAGTGGCAATTTTAAATACTGTCTCATCCAGAGATTCAAATAAATCAAAATAAACAAAAGATTATATAAATACTTATAAAACAGACAAAAATACCTGGAACAATAAACTCAAAAAAAGTCTTGCTTCCAAATCAATTGGGCTTTCAATATTAATAACATACCTCAACTGTTTCAACAAATATCCATGTATATTAAAACTACTAAAATATCTTTTGGATTATATTTATGTACATGTATGAGAAATTCCAGTTGATGGATAAACAAATATCATGGTATTAGATTGTCAGCTGGTATAATTCAGTGTGAGTTTGTTACTTGTTATTATCTAACTGTATAAAACAACAACTTTATAAACAATTTGTCATCAATTTCCATTTTTCTATGGAATCACTATATTTTTTCTTCTTACTATTTGTTCAACTTTCTTTTTCATGTGAAGCTAAGATAATCGAAATAAACCATACTTTTAATTTTTAAATAAAAACTTATTCTTTAATAAAGCTTCTATGAAAAGAAAATATAAATATGAACTTAATCTTTTTTCATTTAATTTTCTCCAAACAATAATATATATTATACTTTCATTTTCCTTCTGTTTTCTTCTCTTATCACTTTTTACAAAACAATAATTTAAATAAATTTATATATGTTATTTCTCTCTAATTATAATATTTTACCAGCCAATCAAAATCTACCAGCAGATATAACATGGCTGTAACAATGATATGAATTTGTTATAAACTCGTGTGAGTCTGTTTAACTAGAGGTAGTACTCAAATGGAAATATTTACAATAAAACAATCTTATTGGACTTCAGTAGACCTAAACATGATGACAACTCACTTAGGCAGTGTAAAGTAAAAAAAAAATGTTATCTAAGGACTACTTTTCATTTGAAAACCCAGTAACATTAGAGTATTTCATTAATTTATTTTCCCAGAATCCTTTAGTTTATAATGAAATTATAGGATTTTGTCATTGTCTGTCCTCCATCTTCTGTTAATTCAAAAATTATTGCAAGTATTTATTATGGCAATTTATGAAAATTTGAAAAAAATTGAGATTAATAATTGCAATTCAAAGAAAATCTGCCTACAAATATATGTATCAGATATCAAAATGCATGTTCTTATAACTGCTAAACTTGCCCAGTAGCATTAATAAAAACCTTGCAATAATTTCTGATTTTACAGTATCCAGTCACACAGATCCATCAAATATATACCATAACTTAATTATTCTTGCAGAGATAATTATATGAGACTGCTAAGCATACATAAAACATATTTTTCTTTACACTAGGATATTACCAAATGTCAAATGTGATAAAAAAAAATGTTTATATGACCACTATAAACTGTTATTCTTGGGTATTGAGAAGAACCCTTAGTCCACTTTTGAAAGGTATTCTTGATAACTGAGAAAAAGATCCTTAAATATGAATGGCCTCAGTCCAAAGAAATTTGCCTTTCTGTACTAATAGACTTAAACTAATGTCTTTATAAACTGGAATGTAACGGTACTGTATATATGTTGTATGGCTATTGATAGCTAACACTTCTGAAACTCAATATTTTTAGACGAAAAAATTATTGCAGAAAAAAATATCCCACAAGTAGTTCTTTTCCATTGTTATAAATAAGCAATGTTTTAAACAAAACAGAAAACATCAAAGTCACATATTTGTGTGAATGTAAAAATTGTTTAACTATCCTTTTTTAATAGTTCTAAATGTGTGAATAAAATATTTCAAGTCAAAATTTCTTTTGCAGGAAATGCAAAACTATGTACTTTTTTTTCACTGACAATTTTTCTCAATTTTAAATTATTCTAATTGAATGGTGACAAAAATCTATCTTTTATATGGGATACATAGGTATTATGTGCAATCATGTACCCATCTAATACACAATTATCCACTATTATCATAGAAACACATATAACAATTGTTATTATAAACTAAAACCCAGTTTACAAAACTAAACAAAAAAACACAATAATTTTCCACATTTTAAATGCAACCAGTCTAACACATGTTAATTCACATACAATTATCATGAACTTTGCATGATGTTGTCAAAACTCAATTGGTGAAGAAAATATAAAATACACATACACTTACATATAACGTAAGAGGTGCCTCATTTTGTTGTTTACAAAAACAACATACAAACTAAATATAGTAACTAAACATTCTAACAGGCAATATATATTATATATTTTGTCTTACTTATAACATAATATAATTATCTGTTGATATCAAAATTATGTCACAAGATTTGCTAGAATGGATCCTCTCATAACATCAAACTCTAATTGACCAATCACACTGCTTTTAAAAATAGCAGTGAAAGTTCATGATCTGATCACAGTGTGTGGTTTTAACCATCTATACCAATGATTGAATAAGTTCCTACTGTCATCATTGGATTGCCAGAGGAATGGCACATCTATCATGGACAATAAAAACTTTATCAATCCTAACAATTTATGTTTTTATTCACTAAGATAAAGAACTTTCAAACATGCTGTAATTCATTGCATCCAATGAGAAGAAATTAATTCATTACACCCAAAACAAAATCAATTACTATGGATTCAATTATTATTCGCAGGTTGCCAATTTTTGTTGATTTCTTTGGTAAAGGTAAACCATTAATTTTATATTTCCAACACAGCTATAAATTTACTATAGACTTGTGTACAATCTTTTGTAAAACCACGAAATCAAATATCCACGAAAATACAATTTTCACTCAACCAACAACAATTTGTATCCACAAAAAATAAATGAATCCACAGTATCACTATCAATCAATGAAGTTAAAGTTTACGGAGAAATTTTAATTTTCAAAGAAAATATTTTGGTGTATACAAGAAGAACTCTTGCTTCAAATTTTGCAATTTACCTATCATCATATTACGAGACTGAAAATGGACATACATTTCTATTGTATTCCATCAGCTGTTTCAAAATCATTCTGTAAAACACAGATTCAAATGAATTTGGTATGAAGTTTCAATATTACTTTAGAAAAATCTTACAATGTCTGAAGACAAACATGAATAATTCAGGCTTAAAATGTCTGAAAATATTATTATATTGTCATGGAACAATAGAAAAAAAATGTTTGAGATCTAATAATGGATTCTGAGATCATTTAAATATTTTGAGCATGAGAAAAATGTTAGTCCTATTTTGCTTCTTTTAAGTCAACAATCGGATTTAAAATAAATTGTAAAATATTCCAAAAGTATCTCAGTTACATTAGGCATGTGTTGACCTCAATATGTATATATGTAGTTGTATTTCTTGCAGTAGGATAAATCTGGTACATTCTGAAGAGACCCCATGTAGATTTCAAAGGACAGTGTTTCTAAAATATTAGACTAATTATAGATGCTATAACTTTGACCTATGACCTCAAAAACATTCCCACAAGGAACATTATCAAGGCAAATCTTAGTAAAAATAATATATGTGGATCTGAAGCAAAATATTGATACCAAGGTGCATTGCGTTTATTCATAATAGCAGAATTGGACAAATAAAAGTCGAAAAAACCTTATATGTATGAAAAGGTGCTCTAAAGTTTTTATTAATATTTTTAATGATAAAAAAGTGGTTGTTTATATATCTAAGCAATATATTTACAACTTTTAGGATTTGAAATTTTTTTCAGTTATGAAAAATTGTTCTTTTTAATTTCTCTCATATTGTCCTTTTTGACAAATATGAAGAATAAGTTATAGTATAGGTATAGCTTCCACCGTTTATTTACCCAATGTATTTTAATACATTAACAATTTATTTTAATAATTATCACATAGTATTGTAAACATATCAGTTTTTGTCACATCCAATTTTACATCCTTGTTTATCATAGCATATTTGTGTGTATTTATTTTTATGGCTTTATACAATATCATGTATTACAACTCTTGAGTGCAGTTTATATATAGAATTATTTTCACACATAGTACCATGAAAATAGCAGTACTTGGTACACTGTAAAAAACACTTATTTTACAGTATTATTATCAGATAATTTATCACATACAGACATTATTTGATTGTAAAGCTTCATAAAAGAAAAATATCTTAAAAAATAAAAATATTTAAAGAAGATAAGTATTCTGCCTTTGTCAAATAAAGCTTCTTTTATGGTAAAGACATTATAAACAAACTCTTTATATGCTTTGATATGTAACCACAAGAAACAGTGAAATATGAAATTTTACAAAAAAGTAATATATGTGTACATATATGTTAAAAGAACATGGAAATATACATGAATATATACAATGAAAACTTGTGAGTAGAACTGTTTAAATTATAAACATTAGATGTACGAACATTAAGATTATTCTATGAAAGTTTTAATCTCTCAGATAAGGTCAAAGGAACAGAACTAACTGTTTAAATTATTGAAGTTGCACTAGAATGTTCTATCTTAAAGCAAACCTTATTTTTAACAACAAACTTGAATTCTATTAACATTTGTGTCCATTCAACAACAACAAATAATGATCAGAATTGAAACATTAAATTTCATTTGAACTTAAGACCCATATACTTAACTACATTATTCATGTGTAAACTTATAGTTCCATTAGAGATGACATGATTTCTTATGTATTTTTTAAAGTAGGTGTGATAAAGCATTATTTGGCCAATTTTTTTCATTGAAATTTGTACTTCTAATCTTAGATTAATTTTATGCTTGTATTTAAGGTTAAATAATTGTAATCATTTTAACCATTTTCTCAAAAAAATAAATACTTCTGCTATTAATTTTTCAAATTAAAGTACAACCTTGAACCAACCATTACATAAATTGTAGTGACTGTTTATAATATGTCAACTCTGCTTAGTTTTGTATGGTTTATGCATGTGTTTGATATTTCTCAATTATAAATAAATATAGGCCAAACTAAATTATAAGACATTTTGCTGTTTCAAGAAAAAATTCAAATTGTCTGCATCTATCAAGAGTTACAATGCAAAATTCAGATGATTTTTTAATACACCATTTCATAGGCCAATTAACACTCTTAACATACCCACTCCTTTAAACCAATGTTTTAAAATCCTTTGTTATAAATGTACAAGGTAATTGATTCCTTAGAAAACTGTCATGATACATGTATATGTAAATGAAATGTACATAGGAAATGTCAATAAAATAACAACCAAAACAATGTTTAGTGAATCTTAATAAGTCCGTTTTAATTTAAATCTCATGGGGTAATGATAGGATACCAATTTCTTAGAAAAATCTATATGAACATTAAAGAAAAAAAAAGATTGCACAACTGATTGAAAAGACAAACTTTCCATTGTTGTTTTAGATGACCTGATTGTGTGGAATGTGATGTTTGATTTATTTCGCTATCCTTTTCTGCCACTGGAATGCCTTTGGATGTTAATGTAAAATCTACATATTTCTTTTCAAAAGATACAACATTAAATTAATCCTGGAAATGACCCATCACATTTATTTCAAATTGATCCTTGGTCTTTGACAAAAGAGCCAAATAATCCTTTCACCAAAAATTCAACAAAATGTAAGAAAGTACTTTTTTCCTATTTCACCAGTCTACATTGTAACTTTGTTGCTTCAATGACATTACGTAGTATGCATTTTAATGCTGTTATTTCAATGACATATGTATGCACTTTAATGTTGTGTGTCAATGACATTACTTTACATTGTAATGTTGTTTCTGACAATGAATTTAGTATGCATTTTAATGTTGTTACTTCAATGGCATTACTTTACATTGTAATGTTTGTTACTTCAATTACATAAGTTTACATTGTAATGTTGTTACTTCAATGGCATAAGTTTACATTGTAATGTTGTTACTCCAATGACATTAGTATACATTGTAATGTTGTTACTTCAATGACATTGGAATATATTGTAATATTGTAACTGCAATGACATTAGTATACATTGTAATGTTGTTATTTCAATGACATTAGAATATATTGTAATATTGTAACTCCAATGACATTAGTATACATTGCAATGTTTGTTACTTCAATGGCATTAATTTACATTGTATTGATTTCCATGAAATGAATAGTATTCTTTACTGCATAAGGTAAATAAAACTTCAGTAATAAATACCTTTTGAATTAAATATGGGGATACAAAAAACTATGCACAATAATACACATTTTTTTTGGCATATTTATAAAATACTCAATAACCGGTATGTTTTGAAATAAAGTTTGTATACAAATGTATTTTTACCTGAAGATATACAAATAATGTATAAATAAACATATCAACATCTATAAATACACTAAATAAACAAAAATTTTAACAACAAAAATTAATTGTAAACAGTTTGATTGTAGATCTTTTTAGGTGAGTTTCAATAACATAAAAAAATACATTTAAGTAAAGTAATAATAATAATAATCTGTTCCAGGTGGATTTCTTTTTCAGATTTTTTATGAAAGTTATATCGACAATCTGTAACAATGCATTTTCAGGTGGAAAAATCTTTAATTTGAAAAATTATACTTTTGATTAAAACAATTTTTACCAATATAATTTACAAAAATGTTAACATAAACTTCTATATAAGGTTCAACATTACTTTTTATAAAATATTTTCTTTTTCACTGGCATGTATTACCAGTTACCAACTATATATATATAATGAGAACAAGATTGTTATTAACAAATACAAAATTAAAGCCTTTAAAATTGTATGTACATTATCCTCCTCACCTTAAAATTGACTCCCAATTTTATTTTTATTTCTAAGGTTACAATTTCTGAATATTAACCATATCCATGTCTGAAAACAGAGTAGCCTTTAAGTTAGTTTGTATATCTTATCAAAGATGTTGTGTCAAATTGATAATAAACCAAAAAGTCCTGAAATGTAGAGAGAAAAAAAAAGATTTAGGTATTGGTAGAAGTAGAATAAAAAAGATAAAAATTTGAATATATTCTTTTAGGATAGGAGGATGAAAATGTACATACAAAATTTAATTGCCTTTAGATTAACTGTTTAATCAGAAACAAGAAGACAACAAATTATGGTTACTAAATAACATAGGATGCTTTCTGATATCACATGATCTGCCAGCAACAGAACATTAATCTACAAATCTTGTTGGTTAACTTGGTAGTAACAGAGGTGTTGTAGGTGACGTAATAGAACCAGACATGGTAAACTCAAACCCTGTATGTGAGCATGAGTCAGAGCTGCTTATATCACGGGACGAGTCCATAGAGCTAGCCATGGAGATATCTGAAGATGATGTGCTCAAACTTATAGATGAATCAAGTTCTTTTTCAAATTGCTCTAACTGACGCATAAAGTTTAAACTAGGTGAGATCATACTCCTCTTTGATCGTACATGTTCAAACGCAGCTTCTAATCGTATTTTGGCGGTAAACATCAGATAGGCAAGGCAGATGGTGACAGATCGACTAACCCCAGCTCGACAGTGAACCAATACTCTACCACCTTTAGCTTTTACATCATCTATAATAGAACATTTATAAAGGAGATGTTAACAACTGCTTAACTCATTTTTCAGTTATAACTGGGAAAAAAGTAGTTGTATGTGGCCATACAAAATAATGCTAAAATAAACAGAAATTTATTAATTACAGGGGGTACTTTGGTATTCCAGCATTCTCATATAATCAAAATCTTCTATTCAAATTAAGATGGAGTAAAAACGGCTAATCATTGACTCTTTATTGCTGGGAACCAGTACTTGTCAATCAAGGGGAAAAACTCTTTTCCTAATATAATTTTAGAGTCAATTTCAATATTTAACATGTACAAATTCTTGTTTTGAATATGTAACAAATTATAACTTGACATTAAAAACCATCCATTCATCATCATCAATTTCAAAACTCAAGAAAAACTAAAACAAAGTTTCTACAGAAGTCTCCATAAAAAAGAAATAAATTGAATATACACAAATTAAAGAACCTTAGTGAGCTTGCTCACATAAACCACCTCCCCACATTGTCATTAGAGAAATAAAATAAGTGTAAGAAAAAAAATGGAATCATAATTTCCTGTCAATATGCACATCTACATAGTATGTCCTTATTATCTACAAAGTTTCATGAAATTCTGTGATGTGGTTTCAGAGGAGTTGCAATGACAAACTGTTGCAGTAGTACATTGAAGCAAATAAGTTCAAAGGGGCGTAACTCCTAGAAAAAAAATTGAATCGTTATTTCCTGTCGATATGCACATCTACATAGTATGTCCTTATTATCTGAAAAGGTTTCATGAAATTCTGTGGTGTGGTTTCAGAGGAGTTGCGATGACAAACTGTTGCAGTAGTACATTGAAGCAAATAAGTTCAAAGGGGCGTAACTCCTAGAAAAAAAAATAAATCGTAATTTCCTGTCGATATGCACAACTACATAGTATGTCCTTATTATCTGATAAGGTTTCATGAAATTCTGTTGTGTGGTTTGAGAGGAGTTGTGATAACAAGAAACAGGACTGACGGACAGACGGACGGACGGACGGGTCAAAAACATTTTACCCTTCACAAAAAATTTGCGTGGGGTATAATAAATCCCCCAAGCCTACATAGGGGGGGGGGTTCCTGTTGCTCAGTCTATGTTGTGTTTTGGTTACTGTTGTTTGTCTTTTTGTCGTTTTTGGTTTTTTGCCATTGTATTGTCAGTTTGTTTTAGACTTCTGAGTTTGAATATCCCGTTGGTATCTTTCCCCTCTCTTGTAAAGAGAATATTTCCATACTTTTCTTCTGTCAAAATGAATAGATTTCTACTGTTATCCTTAGATAATACTAGCTAGTCATACTGCACATGTTGTTAATACAAAATTCTTGTAAAGAAACAACTTTAAACAAATTGCATTCATCCATGGTTTCAAGAAGAGTTAACATTCATTTAAAGTTGACCCAGGTCAGACAGCAAATGAAATAGCTATCAATGCAACAACAAAGTATTAAAACAGACAGACTGACAGACAGAAGGACAACAGTCAACAATTTTTTTCTGTGGATTATAATTAATGTAAGTAATCCAAAATCACAAACTGTACAAGAGTAACATCTACTTGTTAACATCAGCATCTACAGATAAAAAAGAATATACATTGTACACCTACTTACTTCGCATATGATTTTTTTTCACGATTAGAATTATGAAGCTGACTTCAAACCATTCATTCTAGTGACTTACTCATTTTGTTGATGTATTCATATTAAAGGGGCATTAGCTACGAGATATAAAAAAAATAAAATATGATTTTTCTTGGTTCAATCATTAATGAAAGTGAAATAGTGAAATAATAATTCGCTTTTATCAGCCGGTTTTGTTCTGTTTTGTCAAAATAAGCTAAGAAACATCGCTGATGAATTCGACCTCATTGAATCCGTATTCATGTGACCTTCCATTTAACCCCTTAGCTGGAGATGGGTTATGCAAGTATTCAGCTATTAAAAGGAAAAGAATGTCAACATTGAAAGTGAAACAAGAATGAACTATTTGGTGACTAATTTGTTCCACAAAAAATCATTCTTATACAGTAAAAACGATGATAAACATACTTTTTAAATTACAATTTGAAATCAAACAGACCTATAAAAATCCAATTGCACCTGGTTGCTATCTTTTTATATTTATATTTATTTTTATATCGGGTTATATGACCATCAGCAGTCTTCCGAGGTCATTGCGACGGTTAATTAGATGACGTCTGGACAAAAATTACACATGAAATGCTGATACATATTATCGAGTCCATGCATTATTAATTGTTTATTTTAGACTTTTTTTAATTTCGATATACGTTTTAGTATGTTATAAATCAAATAAGAAAATTTAAATCAAATCATTGAACATAAATTTGACAGCTAATGCCCCTTTAAGAGAAGTTTGAAATATATTTGTGACAATTTTTTTTTTTTACTTGCAAAAGTTGTGTAAATAAATGAGTTTACAGTTGTCCTTAAACAAGTACTTACCAATAAAAGCAATGCAATAGCACTGTCAAACCAGGAGGATAAACAAGTACTTACCAATAAAAGCAATAGCACTGTCAAACCAGGAGGATACACAAATACTTACCAATAAAAGCAATAGCACTGTCAAACCAGGAGGATAAACAAGTACTTACCAATAAAAGCAATAGCACTGTCAAACCAGGAGGATACACAAATACTTACCAATAAAAGCAATAGCACTGTCAAACCAGGAGGATAAATCAGCAGAATCATTATCATCCACTGGTATTGTCATATACTCATACATATCCTCAAAACAATTCTTACAGCTCTTAGAAACATTCATCAGTGAGGTTATACCAAGTCTCTGCAGAATGTCTAATTGTGATGCATGCTGGAAATTACCAAGATATAGATGAGGTAGTATTTCAACTGGTTGGTCCTGAAATTACACCAAAATGTTCCATGTATGATTGACATAAATTGTATTCTATTTTTTTCTATTTCTCTCATGTCAATAGAATATTTGATATTCTTGTGAATGAGCTTTTATTGATTGTATCTTATTCTGATTCTCACTTTGACATTTAAAAATAATATGTTAAGCAAAAGTACCAGTGCCCACTCACATTTTAGTATTTATAAACTGATATTTCTGTTCAAAAAGTGAGAAATATTCATCGAAACCATTTCTGTATAAGATGCCATGAATCTATTTTTGAGAGTCAGCTACGGAACAAGTGCACTGGGCAAATGATTTTGCCCATGTATTTGGTATTTATCACTATTTTCTAAAGTTTTGCTTGGATTTTTTTTGTGATAATTTTTCATATCACTCTACTCAAGCGATATCATTTTTTCCTCAGTCATCTAGAAAGGAAATGCAAAAATATATGACATCATGAACCTACATCATTAACGTTGCCAAGGAAAATAATGGCGAGATTAAATCTATTGCCCTCAATATTTTTGCCCTGTGCTATTCAACACATTCTTTTTTACATTGGTATTTAAAATGTCCTATTCTTCTTCAATCTTGGTCAACTAACAGAACCTATCGATCTGATTTATTGTAAACTTGTTCTAGTCCGGAATATGCCTTTAATATTTGCTGCTGGACATTATACTAACAACATACTATTATATTATCAAATCAATCACTGTTGCATGTAATTGTACACATGTGTCATGGTGAGACAATAGACAGTGGCAAATGTATACTAGTCTTAGATGCATGGTGAGACAATAGACAGTGGCAAATGTATACTAGTCTTAGATGCATGGTGAGACAATAGAGAGTGGCAAATGTATACTAGTCTTAGATGCATGGTGAGACAATAGACAGTGGCAAATGTATACTAGTCTTAGATGCATGGTGAGACAATAGACAGTGGCAAATGTATACTAGTCTTAGATGCATGGTGAGACAATAGAGAGTGGCAAATGTATACTAGTCTTAGATGCATGGTGAGACAATAGAGAGTGGCAAATGTATACTAGTCTTAGATGCATGGTGAGACAATAGACAGTGGCAAATGTATACTAGTCTTAGATGCATGGTGAGACAATAGAGAGTGGCAAATGTATACTAGTCTTAGATGCATGATTTTTTTTATTAGTTAATATTGGCTTTGAACTAGCTGTCAGTAACTGTGAGTACTCTCAGATCTGTACTTAAGTGTCTTTTTGTTGTTGGGATGTACAAGTACCCGTCCACGTCTACTCTGTGTTTTTGTTAGATTTATTTCTATTTGTATCCATCTGATGAGTTAAGCCTTTTTCAACTGATTTTTATAGTTTGTTCTTATGTTGTACTGTTACACCACTGTCCCAGGTTAGGGGAGGGTTGGGCGCCCACTAACATGTTTAACCCCGCCACATTCTGTATGTGCCTGTCCCAAGTCAGGAGCCTGTAATTCAGTGGTTGTTGTTTGTTGCTGTGTTACATATTTGTTTTTCGTTCATCATTTTGTACATAAACTAGGCCGTTAGTTTTCTCGTTTGCATTGTTTTAAGTTTGTCATTTCTGGGCCTTTTATAGCTGACTACCCAGTATGGGCTTTCTCATTGTTGAAGGTCTTACAGTGACCTATAGTTGCTAATTTCTGTGTCATTTGGTCTCTTGTAGAGAATTGCCTCATTGGCAATCATACCACATTTTCTTTTTTATATAAATGGGATCCAGTCAATATCTCTTTGGTCTGGTTTAAATAACTGCATCCCTGTGCTTTTGGTGAGACAGGGGCCAGTGCCAAATGTATACTTACTGTGATCCAGTCAATAACTCTTTGGTCTGGTTTCAATGAATGTGATGTTTGGAAAGAATGAGATTGTCCCTCACAGAGTTGTGGAGCTACCCTTTGGAAATCACAAAATCCACCTGAAATAATAAAACAAATATTAGACCTGTGCTTGCAAAAAAGCAATGAAGACGCAGGATTGGGTTATCTGATTAATTCACTAATCATCTTATGTTATTTTTCTATAACTTTTGCAGAGCATTAGTGAAAAACTTATCATACATATTATTGCTGGTGGTAATTGATAAACAGACCAAAACCCAAAACTTAACATTGACCATTATGAACCATGAAAATGAGGTCAAACTCAGATGATACCTACCAAACAGACCTGTTGCACTATATACAATTATTCCATACACCCAATATAGCTGACCTGTTTCTATTAGTTTTTGAAAAACAGATCAAAACACAAAAACTTAACATTGACCAATAAACCATGAAAATGAAGTCAAGGTCAGATAATAGTCTAGACTGACATGTATCCCTTAAAATCATCCATACACCAAATATGGTTTACCTATTGCTTATAGTACTTGTAAAATTTTACATTGAGCAATGAACCATGAAAATGAGGTCAAGGTCAGATGAAAACTGCCAATCTGACATGTACCCCTTACATTCAATCCATACACCACATATAGTAGACCTACTGAGAAACGGACCTAATCAAGTAACTTTAACATTGATCACTGATCCATGAAATGAGGTAACTGGACCATGTCCTAGGCAGCAGGGTCTCCACATAGTCTTTAAACTGTTATGTATTGATAGTAATGCAAATTTATACAAATATCATTGATCTTTCACAAGTAGTTCCTATTAAACTAACTAAAGCAGAAAACTTAACATTGAAAATTGCTAATCAATTCAAAGTCACTGGACCATTACCTAAGAAGCTGGGCCTGTAATAGTTGTCAAACTGATATGTACTGATAGTAATTCAACTTTAGAGAAAATATCAATGATCTATCACATGTAGCTCCTATCAAGCTAACTAAAGCAGAAAACTTAACATTGAAAATTGCTAATTAATTCAAAGTCACTGGACCATTACTTAGGAAGCTCGGCCTCATAATAGTTGTCAAACTGATATGTACTGCTAGTTATGCAACTATATAGAAAATATCATTGATCTATCACAAGTAGTTCCTTTCAAACAAACTAAAGCAGTAAACTTAACATTGAAAATTGCTAATTAATTCAAAGTCACTGGACTATTACCTAGGAAGCTGGGCCTCGTAATAGTTGTCAACCTGATATGAACTGATAGTAATGCAACTTTATAGAAAATATCAATGATCTATCACCAGTAGTTCCTATCAAACTAACTTAAGCAGAAAACAACAATTGTTGACGCATCCGCCACAATTCTTGCTAAGACAAAATCATATAAACTTGACAATTTTCTTCAGATGCTATTTCTTGATCTTGAAGAAACTTATTTCCAAATTACAAAACATTTCATGAAGGTTAAACAGTTGTTCATGTTTAAATAATGTAATGTACAGACTGTTTGTAAATGTTAACTACAAAAAAACTTAATTCAACTTTTTTTATAATCAGTAAAATATGGAAGACTGAAAAATATACAATGGTAACTTCAAAATTTGGATTCAAGCTAAGCATTATCTCTAAATCATAAAAATATGTGCCAAAGTTTCAAGAATGCTATTTATCAGTAAAAAAAAAAAAATAAACATTTTTAAAATTTCACTATTCTAAAGTCAGTGGTTATTTTCCTTTAGATAAGTTAGCACTGATTGCACTTCTTTGACTGTCTCGGACTCTCTGTTAAATCTTATTCATAACTTCTAAACTAGGAACACATTAAAGATTCACAATCTGTAAGCTGTTTGTTAACCTTAATTAAGATACATGTCTTTTGGTGTTTTTTTCTTAATTGTTGGTTTGCTGTCTTATTGCCATTTATATATAGACATGTACCCAAAACCGTGTATTAAAAGTTACAGTATGCTTCAATAAAAATACACATAATTCATGTATCAATGAAATGAGATATTGGGTATAAATCAATTAGACAGCAACCCAATGACAAAATTTACCCAAAGACATTTTAAGGTCAACATACATGGTCATGTACAGTCTTCAATAATACACAGCTGCCTATATACAAAATGTCAAGCTCTATAAATTGTCTCAAGTCTTTTTAAGTTGTGAATAAATTAAACCAAAAAAAAAATGAATAAAAAGTTGCAATCAACATCCAATTCTCAAATAACAAATGTAATAAAAAAACTTTAAGATATGACATAAGACAACTGCTGACGAGGTTCCAGACAAGGGACAGGCGCATGAATATATGTTGTTGTTAAACTAGTTTTTAGTGATTTTGTATACATGTATATACATTTTGATTATACAGCACAGTGATACTACTTCCACATATATTTTATACACATCCTCCCACTCTTTCTTAAAAATCAATTTTACCTTTATGCCCACTTCATTGTTTCCATTTGATTACTGGGAAATTATAAATAAATTTAGTCTTATTTGAAAGAGTGGTTTAAAGGAAATTTTCCCACCCACATTAAATTCAAAGTATTTAAAATCAAATTTAGTGCAACATTAAATTAATGTTAAAGATGGATATATATATTTTAGTTGACCATGGAATTGAGAGAAGACATCTGTGTGATTTCCAATACAAAGTCATTCTTAAGATCTGTCATAGGATGATCCCCCACGTCTTTGATTAGCCTTGATTTTTTATCAATAACTACAATGCACGGATATACAGTGCGTAGGAGGATGTTTACTCCTGGTATAAATAGATTGTAACTCATTTCCTCTGTTTGTTTACAGATAAGTGCAGGTGGTATTGCACCAATCAGACATAGTTCAAAACCACAGTAATATAGTCTATCACCACCAGACATCACCAAAGAGTGTTCCAAGATTAGGAAAATTATTATTATTACACATCAGTGTTCTCCAATTACATTGTAATAGTATGTCAGAACAAAAACAAAACATGAATACTATAAATTCAGAAATTATAGCTGCATTTATTATTGCGATTTTTGAGGAATGAATAAAAATGCGAGATTAATTATTGCGATTTCAGAAACATCTGCATACAGATATGTGTATCAGATTTCAGAATGCGAGTTCTTATTATTGCCATACTTATGGAGTCGCATTATTCGCATTAATAAAAACCTCGCAATAATTTCTGAATTTACAGTATATGTATCATTCAATGAAGCAGCATGTCTGATGCTTATAATATTATACAAGCTGGTACCTTTAATAAATATTACAGTCTGGTACCTATAATAAATATATACATGTATAAAAATTACCAGGTTTCTATCCTTATTTTAGACCTAAAATACTGTTACTTGCATTGTCCTATAATATTTTTTGTTTCTTCATATGAATAGGACAGGAAATTGTTATATGTCAATGTTAAAAGCTTCCAGTAAACCAAAAAGAACATGAACTGTAGATTGGGTCAACTTATAATAACATGTAGGAGCTTAAATTGCTTCCGTGTGTCACTCTCAATTAAATGCACTGGGAATTGTAAGTGCCTCAGTGGTAGTCTTTAGTTTATATCTTACTTTTTTGTGCTTCGAGAAGTTGATGGCAGAATATTTTATTCACAACTTGTCCAGGCTTATGAGCTATTTATAACTTGCCAAATGTCATGGACACTTAAAGACCATTTGTTGACCTCTACATATATACAATGACATAAATGTGTGTTGTTTTGGTTTTTGTGTTCTTGTTTTCATGAACAGGTCTTATTTACTTAAATATACCTCACATTTCTTTTTATTCATATACATGTCCATTAAATGAGGTGGAACCCCAATGACAGGGCTGTTCTATGGAAATGTCCTCCCCACCCTTCACTCATATACCCCAGGCATACTTTTGAAACGAGTCACATTAGTGCCATTCCTTTTAATTCTAATCAAATTAAAGAAGAAAAAATATAGTTTTATCCTTGATAAACTAATGACTGTCAAATTGGCAGAATTGTTGTTCTACATGTACATGCATCTGCAAATCTACATTATCACCACTGTAAAAAGCTGACAAAATCATATATCATAAAAGCATTTAAAAAACACAAGTCACATTTACAGAAGGGTGTGGGTATTTATTTTGATAATGTTTGGCTGTTTATAACATTATTACAAAATCACAATAGTAATGAAATCCTCAAAGTCTAAATATAGACATGTCACATGTTCAGAAGGAGTGGGTATTTATTTAGATAATGTTTGATTACATATATATATATATACATCACATTCATCTGAAGTGCTATTTAGGACACTAACAGATATAAAAATATCTGTAACAGTCTAAAAATAGACATGTTAACTTACATTGAAAGAAACATGATGAGGAACTCAGTGTGATTGTTTAATCAATTGTACATATATTACAATGTATATATATATATATGTTTTTAATATAACTAAAATTTTGTGAAACATAAATACATGTACATTGTACATGTAACATGACAATAAAAATACAATAAGAAAAAAGACATCAGATTTCAGGCTACTTTGTCATGGAAAAGATGGTTCCTTTAAAATTTTAAGTTCCAAATGGCAAAAAATATTACAGTAATTGTTCCAAACAGAATTACGGGTAACTAGAATGTTTGTTTCAACAGGGACAGATATTTTAGCATTGTTATTACAAAGTTTCCAGAGGAACTCTGTTTATATATGTTGACAACTGTACCATGTTGAATATATATGTTGACAACTGTACCATGTTGAATATGACCAGTCAGTGTTAGGAATAAAAGGTTTTATTTTTGTTTGAGTAAATCTTAATAATAGGACAGCAACCAATCAACACACAATAAAAAGAAAAGACAACCAATGCATGTTCTATATCTGTATGTGTATGTCTAAGATACCAATTCTGGCTTTTACTCGATAGGAGAGAGCACCAATTAACGGTGTTGGAGAGCTGATTTGAAGCTGTCCACTGTCTTCGAACATACTTTACCTTCATCCAGCTGGTTCCAGTGAATCACAGTCTTTATGAAGAATGAGTTGAAATGATAAGTTTTATATTGAAT